CGAACACGGGCCTTCTGCGGGATTAGCGAACACTTTAACCACTAGGCTACCCTACCGCCCCCATTTTAAAGAGCCGGTCTCAGGATGTAACAATACCCATCATGACAAATACCCTTATTTCCCTTTCAAATAGAATAAGAGCAGTCAGTAAATGAAGCAGATTTACTTTTAATAAGTTAAACGTAAATTAATATTTAACAATGAAATTCAACAGTGAAAATTATATAATAACCTGTTTCCTAATAAAACTTTGACCTCTTTCCAAAAAACAATTTTGGGTTAGGAATGCTGTACCGAGTAGCGTTATTCTAACTTAGGCTATAGCTCTTTGTTCAAGCGCAAATAAAAGTATAATGCCCTATCCCCATACAGTAGCTGGGGCGGTCGGGTAGCCTAGTGGTTAAAGCGTTCGCTCGTCACGCCGAAGACCCGGGTTCGATTCCCGACATGGGTACAATGTGTGAAGCCCATTTCTGGTGTCTCCCGCCGTGATATTGGTGGAATATTGCTAAAAGCGGCGTAAAACCATACTCACTCACTCACTCACTCATACAGTAGCTCATAGGGGTGTGTGTTCCCGTGTTATTACAACGGCCGTACCGAAATTTGTGCCTGTAAAAGCATATGGTTAGTGTGTATGACTAAAGACAAAACCCGTTACAAAGTAATGTCACAGTACCTTATATGGATGTCGCCTTGGATGCTGTCAACTGCACCGCTAAGATCAGTCACTCCCCACTAAATTTTAAGATTCCTCAGTCACAGAATATTTCGCAGAATTGTTATCTTGATGCAGAAGTGTACCTATCTTGCAGAAATTACTTTTGTGCAGAAATGACGCAGAATGTTCATTTTTAAGCTGCGGAATCGGCCAACTACACTGCTGAAATTTACACTGCGATTCAGAAGATAGTCTTCAATTCTGTAAATGTTGAAATTAACGCGAGCGTAAATTAAATGCGAAAAATGCGAGTGGTCTTTGCTCGCATTTTTAAACATCGCATATATATCAACAATGAGACATTTTAAATAGAAGAAATATCAACTACAATATACAAGTTACAGTTCAACATGTGCATTAATGGTGTTTGTATGTCTCTGCTAGTGGAACAATTTCAAATAATTAAATTGAAGTATTTGTGTAATTTTAGTATAATTAAAGAACCTTCAACTGTTGTATTTTGATTACAGGAGGCACATGACTTACGGTTTCATGAGTGAGTTGGGTTTAACGCCGCTTTTAACAGTATTCCAGTTATATCACGGCGTGTCAGCTAAATGTGCGAGGAAAGCCCGAAGTGATGCAGGTCTCAGACGTTTACCACTTCGGTGAAACCCACGAGCACGGGTACGGTGCTGACAAACCTAATAACACAATCGGGGCGAACCGGGATTCGAACCCACAGTCATAGGTTTCTGGCGTGCCCAAGGGACGCAACTCTGCACAGCGAATCGCGGTGCCTTATTATGTTGATAATTCGTTTATGAAACATATTCTTAGCATTCAGCCTTGCCTAAATCCAATCGGACGATCAAAAAATGAGTACATTTGTTGGTACCTTTTTACACATGCGTTTACTGATGAATATATATATACTATTAGGTGCCTTTAACATGTCTCCCTTTAAACCCTCTTCCCGAGACAATGGCGTTTAAAGATATAAAAGTGGAAACTGGACTTTTATAGTCAGTTAACTCCCTTGCCTCGGGAAGATGCGTTAAACCAGTTGAATACAAACAATGTCAAAGGAATATGAGATTCACAGAATTAAATGTTGTTTTTCAAAATTAACGAAAGTAATATCAAGTTTCTTTTTTTCCTTTTTGATAGACATATCTGCTGATTGCGTATAAAGTAAAAATATTATCTACAGCAGAATAGCCCTGTCTAAAACCAGCTTAAGTCTCTGGTATCATTTCCCGTATTCGTACAAAGGTTGAAAGTCGGTTACTGGTGTAAAAGTTTCCAATTACTGAAAGCAGAGAAATTCACCTATAATTATTGGAATTATTTCGCGATCTTTTGTATAAATTGGGGTTATAATGGCTTTTGTCCACGAAACTGTAAATACAACAGAGTCGAATAACTTATGAAACAGCTTTACAAGAAAGGGCACAGTAATATTTACAGAATGCTTCAACATCCCAGTCTTGCCATTTTTTTAAGTGATACAATTTCTGTCAGGTATATAAGGGTTTGTTTGTTTGTTGGTTTACACCGCACTCAGCAATATTCCAGCTTTATGACCTCTGTCTGTAAATAATCGAGTCTAGACCAGACAATCCAGTGATTGACATCTTGATCATCGATCCACGCAATTGGGATCGATTACGTGCATCAACCAAGTCAGCGAGGCTGACCACCCGATCCTGTTAGTCGCCTTTTACGACAAGCATAGTCGCCTTTACGACAAGCATGGGTTGCTGAAGACCTATTCTACCCCGGATATTCAGGGTTTACACAGATCAACATCATCAAATGGCAAAATGATCATGGACAATGTCGTCATTAATATTTACATAAGTCTCAACATTGGTAGATGAATTCTTAACGATTAAACCGGGAACCATTGTCGATATGGGATTGATTATCAGATCGTTCTGATCATCTTCCCGAGGCAAGGGAGTTAACTGACTTTAAAAGTCCAGTTACCACCCTTGCCGAGCTAGACTGGAATTGATGTTAGTTATGTGCCTTCTATGTTCCCCACTACTGACCAATCCGATTCCACCTCTCATATCGCTTGACTTTGCTTCAAACAAAATGGCGGCGCCCAGTCAAGACGATCTCATCGATGATAAAGATCTTTATTGTAATACAACGGGTTTTACCTCGAGAAGTGCATCATATCACTTGAGCACCATGACTGACCCCCAATTGACGATATACATGCTCTGCAAATTCTGCAGTCGAACGATTTCGGCACTACAGTTGCCATGTTGTTAATGAACCGGATATCGATTTAGTTACGGGATGTTGATTGGACTATGCATAGACTCGTGAGTCCAACCAAAATGTAACTCCATAATACCAGCCTAGTTCGGCAAGAGTTGAAACTGGACTTTTAAAGTCAGTTTACTCCCTTGCCTCGGGAAGATCCGCTCTGATATACTTCAGAAATCTTATTTCTTTCCAAAATCTAGCTGAGCCTTTAACTGATAGGTGATGATTTGTTCCTTTTATACTCGTTTGGCTTTAAGCTACAATTTCGCTTTGGTTGGCTGCAGTCCGCTTGGCTCCATATGAGAACGACGAATTGTAAAATAACTAAAAATATTCTATTAAATGTCATTACGGTACACGACTATGAATACCCTGTACCCAACAATATATGCTGTTTATGTTTATACCCTATCACTGGAAAAAGATGTTAAAGAAACTATCATGTTGTTATGTGTACAAGTTGACATCTTAACGGAGGGGACACAACGGAAGAAGGAACAGCGCAAACACGCACGTGCTACACAACGGTACAGAGAATGAAAGGATTAGAGGGGTCGTCTCATAACAATTGTAATCACAATCTGACTTGCTCATGTCACAACCCTCGTCGTCGGATTGCGTGTGTCACTGCTGACGGTCACAACTATAGGTGGGACTGTTGCTTGCTGACGTCAACCACGTGACCAGTATATTGACTCTCTGTCACAAAACACAGCCGATTGGGTTTCATGCCATTTATAACAAAGTGTATTTTTCTGCTAACATTCTGTAGTCCTTTCTTTAAAGGTTTTGCTTGGAAAACGAGCAGGTATATGTTTAAGTTGCACTCTATTTTCTATGAAAAAAGTGATGTACAATTATATATATACACGTCTAGTGATGCAATAAAATAGTCTACCACACTACATCCCGGTTCGACCCGAGGTAGAGGTCTTCAGCAACCTATACTTGCCGTAAAAGGCGAATGTTCCTCGGGCGGGGCGATCTGGTAGCCTAGTGGTTAAAGCGTTCGCTCGTAACGCCGAAGACCCAGGTTCGATTCCCGACATGGGTACAATGTGTGAAGCCCATTTCTGGTGTCCCCCGCCGTGATATTGATGGAACATTGCTAAAAGCGGCGTAAAATCAGACTCACTCACTCACTCACTGTTCCTCGGGCAACGCTGCTAAGGAGATGCTTGTAGCTTGTTCACGTGGCGGGTTGTTGTCTCCGCCAACACGTGCGTTCAAGTCACCGCGAGTTATGACGTCACAGTCCCTATTACTCTGCTCAATAAGCCACTCGGAAAGTTTTTTTTACCATCTGCAATATAAAACGATGAACCAAAGTCTCATCAGATAAATATGGCCCAAACAGGCGCCAATTCATAAAAATATAGCTTAAAAGATTGCAGATCTCGGAGGAGAAATCATGAAAATTGGTTGCAGAATATATCAAAATGAACCGCGAAATGTTGGAGTTTTGGCCGCGGAATTCAGCATCAGCTGACAATTGTGTGTGGAATAAGGCCGAGTCTGGTGACGTACACTGTTACACATGGTCAGAGGTTGGGGAACAGTACACTTATTCCCCTATTGTCTGCTGTAGACTGGCTGAAGGCGGTGTTCAAGTACGGCCTTCTCAACTTTGACTACTACCCGGAACTTAAGGACCCCAACTCCATGCTCTTCAAGATCTACCGGCGGAAGTTCTGCTATGACGTGAGTTGCTTCAGTCACGGGGAAAGCGTTTATTGTACGATATAGAGGGAGTGAGCTGGATTAAAATCAGCTTAAAACTGTATGTACGTTGTATAGAGTGGTTGAGCTGCGTTTAAAGCTGCTTTGAACAGTATTTTTCCAATATAGAATTGAGTGAGTATGCGACTTTTGCTTTATTATTATTATTATTATTATTGGTTTGTCGGCACCGGTATTCTTGATTCCACCATAGTGCTAGCTTACAATGTGCATTACTTCGGTCTTTCCTCCCACATTAAACAGGCCATGATAACTGAAACACTGTTAAAAGTGGCGTAAATCCCACATCACTCATCCTCACGTCCCATTCTTCCAGATGGAGTCCTTCTACCGCACGAGCTATCTGGCGGCAGCGTTCCGGGACTGCGTGATACGGAGCTTCAGGTAAACGTGATAATACTAGTCACATGATGGTTAGGCCATACAAACAGTGTCATTCAGTACAGTGATATACTACTTAAGATGAAAAAATATTGATTATTACTGCCTCGTTGTTCTTAGGCAGGAGACAGTATCAGTTTTATTATTACCTATTAAGAAATCAATCTAATATACTGGCTATAAGATGAAGAACATGATGCTATGCCAAGTCATTCCTATCGGATACCATTAATCATTGGAATACGTTACCTACTTAAGTAGAAACGATGGGAAAACTCAAAGGATTATTTAGCATGGACAATGCTACTAATATACATTTTGACTTAAACCATGGTACTGGGGGCGCGGGTGGCCCAGTCGTCTAAGGCGCCGCAATTCGCTTTGCAGAGTTGCGTCCCTTAGGCACGCCAGAAACCTATGATTGTGGGTTCGAATCCCGGTTCGCCCCGATTATGTTTCTAGGTTTGTCAGCACCATACCCGTGCTCGTGGGTTTCATCGAAGTGGTAAACGTCTCGAGACCTGCATCACTTCGGGCTTTCCTCCCACATTAAGCTGACACGCCGTGATATAACTGGAATACTGTTAAAAGCGGCGTTAAACCCAACTCACTCACTCACTAAACCATGGTACCAGAGTCTGTCAGATAATCCAATCTCGACTCAGACTCGGTTGTAGCGATTTAAATTTCCATCGCCTTGAAAGACATATCTCAGACAATGCATCATGCTCGTGTGGCTATCTCTGTGAAGATATACTGCATTATTGTTTCACATGCACTAACTATAATATTTTAAGAAACGATTCGGGTTTTTTTAATTTTGAAAGGTTACAAATTTATTTCGGTACTTTATGGGAATGGAAATGAAACAAAATCAGTCAATTTAATACTTTTAATTCGGTCCATATGTACATCCTGCGTTCTGGGAGATTTGCACTGATGTAAGAACTGAAGACTTAATTCATATTTTAATATAAGTACTAAGTATTAGATAGTTAATGACATGTTTTTCTTAATAACTGAACACCTTTCCATCAACTGCACCAAACTGTTGACCACTCGTGTTTGTTCGGTTTTGATAATATATATAACCAACATGTATCAATATTACTTGATATTTATACATATAATTGTGCTTCTATTACTTCGTACTGAAGCGGTATTAACAGAAGTCAGATGACTTGTTTACCAATCCAGATTCATTCATTGAATAAAAATATGTTTAATTCATTATCGGGTGTGTTGATGTGTCGCAAGTCTGCTTAACTTACTTGCCAACGTGTACACGTAAATAAAGCTGTAAGATGCTGTTATGTATTACCCACTAGATGAAGAGGAGGGGGGGGGGGGGAGTAATTAATACTGCTAGTAATTAATACCTGCAGTGACTGCAGTAATGAATAGCTTAGGTAACTAATATATGCAGTATTTAAAATCTACAGTGACTATTACTAAAAGTAATTAATAGTTACAGTGACTAATACTTCGAGTAATCAATACCTACAGTGACTAATACTTCGAGTAATTAATAGCTACAGTAATTAATACCTACAGTGACTAATATCTACAGTAATGAATAACTTAGGTAACTAATATATGCGGTATTTAAAATCTACAGTGAGTATTGCTAAGAGTAAATAATAGTTACAGTGATTAATACTAAGAGTAATCAATAGCTACAGTGACTAATACTTCGAGTTATTAATAGCTACAGTAATTAATACCTGCAATGACTAATAGCTTAAGTAAGTACACCGGGATAGAATAGGTCTTCAGCAACCAATGCTTGCTGTAAAAGGCGACTATGCTTGTCGTAAAAGGCGACTAACGGGATCGGGTGGTCAGGCTCGCTGACTTGGTTTGATGCATGTCATCGTGTCCCAACTGGGTGGATCGATGCTCTTGATGTCCGTCACTGGATCGTCTGGTCCAGACTCGCCGTCATATGGCTGGAATATTGCTGAGTGCAGCGTTTAACAACAAACAAACACACAAGCAAAGGGAGTAATGGCTACGGTAGACGTACAAACATTCAAACACGATTAATCGGCATGATCTTTCTCTCTACAGCCCTGACTCTAAGATCGAGTTCGACATTCAGTTCGAGACGCCCGTGTTTCCAAACCTACAGAGCTACATTCTGTCCGTGTTCGAGTCCCAGGCGCCACGTCTCAACATGTCTGGTCACAACGTGCTGGATGTAGGGGATCTGTACCTTATATGGGGCAACTACTCCTACGTCATCGTAACCCCTGACCCGGAAATCAGCACAATCACCTGGGTGCCGCCATCTTCCTTCGTTCCGACGTCGACTATACAGCCCGAGCCGACGTCAACCATTGTGATGACGTCATCTGTCGTTCCAACAACGCCCGCACCACGTGGTATGACAACGCCTATGACGCTGCCCCTTTTCTTGTTGTAAACAAATTGCAGAAATTCTGCCGTATTCGTTTTGCAGAATAATGCAATACTTTATTTGCAGTGAAATAGGTTATGAGCCATGATGAATTAACACTATCTACAGCCAGAGAGAAGTAGCGTATTATGAAACTTATGATGAATTAACACTTTTTACAGCCAGAGAGAAGTAGCGTATTATGAAACTTATGATGAATTAACACTATTCACAGCCAGAGAGAAGTAGCGTATTATGAAACTTATGATGAATTAACACTGTTTACAGCCAGAGAGAAGTAGCGTATTATGAAACTTATGATGAATTAACACTTTTTACAGCCAGAGAGAAGTAGCGTATTATGAAACTTATGATGAATTAACACTTTTTACAGCCAGAGAGAAGTAGCGTATTATGAAACATGGGATGAATTAACACTTTTTACAGCCAGAGAGAAGTAGCGTATTATGAAACATGGGATGAATTAACACTTTTTACAGCCAGAGAGAAGTAGCGTATTATGAAACTTAGGATGAATTAACACTTTTTACAGCCAGAGAGAAGTAGCGTATTATGAAACTTAGGATGAATTAACACTATTTACAGCCAGAGAGAAGTAGCGTATTATGAAACATGGGATGAATTAACACTTTTTACAGCCAGAGAGAAGTAGCGTATTATGAAACATGGGATGAATTAACACTTTTTACAGCCAGAGAGAAGTAGCGTATTATGAAACATGGGATGAATTAACACTTTTTACAGCCAGAGAGAAGTAGCGTATTATGAAACATGGGATGAATAAACACTGTTTACAGCCAGAGAGAAGTAGCGTATTATGAAACTTGGGATGAATTAACACACTATTTACAGCCAGAGAGAAGTAGCGTATTATGAAACTTGGGATGAATAAACACTGTTTACAGCCAGAGAGAAGTAGCGTATTATGAAACTTAGGATGAATTAACACTTTTTACAGCCAGAGAGAAGTAGCGTATTATGAAACTTGGGATGAATTAACACACTATTTACAGCCAGAGAGAAGTAGCGTATTATGAAACTTGGGATGAATTAACACTATTTACAGCCAGAGAGAAGTAGCGTATTATGAAACTTGGGATGAATTAACACACTATTTACAGCCAGAGAGAAGTAGCGTATTATGAAACTTGGGATGAATTAACACACTATTTACAGCCAGAGAGAAGTAGCGTATTATGAAACTTATGATGAATTAACACTATTTACAGCCAGAGAGAAGTAGCGTATTATGAAACTTGGGATGAATTAACACTATTTACAGCCAGAGAGAAGTAGCGTATTATGAAACTTGGGATGAATTAACACTATTTACAGCCAGAGAGAAGTCGGGTATTATGAAACTTGGGATGAATTAACACTATTTACAGCCAGAGAGAAGTAGCGTATTATGAAACTTAGGATGAATTTACACTATTTACAGCCAGAGAGAAGTAGCGTATTATGAAACTTAGGATGAATTTACACTATTTACAGCCAGAGAGAAGTAGCGTATTATGAAACTTATGATGAATTAACACTATTCACAGCCAGAGAGAAGTAGCGTATTATGAAACTTATGATGAATTAACACTGTTTACAGCCAGAGAGAAGTAGCGTATTATGAAACTTATGATGAATTAACACTTTTTACAGCCAGAGAGAAGTAGCGTATTATGAAACTTATGATGAATTAACACTTTTTACAGCCAGAGAGAAGTAGCGTATTATGAAACATGGGATGAATTAACACTTTTTACAGCCAGAGAGAAGTAGCGTATTATGAAACATGGGATGAATTAACACTTTTTACAGCCAGAGAGAAGTAGCGTATTATGAAACATGGGATGAATTAACACTTTTTACAGCCAGAGAGAAGTAGCGTATTATGAAACTTAGGATGAATTAACACTATTTACAGCCAGAGAGAAGTAGCGTATTATGAAACATGGGATGAATTAACACTTTTTACAGCCAGAGAGAAGTAGCGTATTATGAAACATGGGATGAATTAACACTTTTTACAGCCAGAGAGAAGTAGCGTATTATGAAACATGGGATGAATTAACACTTTTTACAGCCAGAGAGAAGTAGCGTATTATGAAACATGGGATGAATAAACACTGTTTACAGCCAGAGAGAAGTAGCGTATTATGAAACTTGGGATGAATTAACACACTATTTACAGCCAGAGAGAAGTAGCGTATTATGAAACTTGGGATGAATAAACACTGTTTACAGCCAGAGAGAAGTAGCGTATTATGAAACTTAGGATGAATTAACACTTTTTACAGCCAGAGAGAAGTAGCGTATTATGAAACTTGGGATGAATTAACACACTATTTACAGCCAGAGAGAAGTAGCGTATTATGAAACTTGGGATGAATTAACACTATTTACAGCCAGAGAGAAGTAGCGTATTATGAAACTTGGGATGAATTAACACACTATTTACAGCCAGAGAGAAGTAGCGTATTATGAAACTTGGGATGAATTAACACACTATTTACAGCCAGAGAGAAGTAGCGTATTATGAAACTTATGATGAATTAACACTATTTACAGCCAGAGAGAAGTAGCGTATTATGAAACTTGGGATGAATTAACACTATTTACAGCTAGAGAGAAGTAGCGTATTATGAAACTTGGGATGAATTAACACTATTTACAGCCAGAGAGAAGTCGGGTATTATGAAACTTGGGATGAATTAACACTATTTACAGCCAGAGAGAAGTAGCGTATTATGAAACTTAGGATGAATTTACACTATTTACAGCCAGAGAGAAGTAGCGTATTATGAAACTTAGGATGAATTTACACTATTTACAGCCAGAGAGAAGTCGGGTATTATGACACTTAGGATGAATTAACACTATTTACAGCCAGAGAGAAGTCGGGTATTATGACACTTAGGATGAATTAACACTATTTACAGCCAGAGAGAAGTCGGGTATTATGACACTTAGGATGAATTAACACTATTTACAGCCAGAGAGAAGTAGCGTATTATGAAACTTGGGATGAATTAACACACTATTTACAGCCAGAGAGAAGTAGCGTATTATGAAACTTAGGATGAATTTACACTATTTACAGCCAGAGAGAAGTCGGGTATTATGACACTTAGGATGAATTAACACTATTTACAGCCAGAGAGAAGTAGCGTATTATGAAACTTGGGATGAATTAACACTATTTACAGCCAGAGAGAAGTAGCGTATTATGAAACTTATGATGAATTAACACTTTTTACAGCCAGAGAAAAGTAGCGTATTATGAAACTTATGATGAATTAACACTTTTTATAGACTATAGACTATATTTATAGTCCTTCCATCTGGTACAATGTGTGAAGCTCATTTCTGGTGTCCCCCGCCGTGATAATGTTGGCATATTGCTAAAAGCGGCGTAAAACTATACTCACGCCTTCTGTTACAGACTGGGTGGTGGCCATGTTCAACTACTCTATGTTCGACTTCACGTGGATGCCGGAACTCGCTGACCGGACCTCGATGTTGTACAAACTGTACGAGAACAAGTTCTGTAATGATGTACGTTCTTCCTCTTCCTGGAGTCAGGGTCAATGCCCATGGGTTTCTAGGCTGTGTGTCACACTTCTGGTTCATATAGCCAACTGATGCAATTGTCAGGAATTCCATCCAAATTCATCTTGAAAGTATTCTTGTTACTCACTGACTGGGAATATGTGACGTGTTAACACATATATATGTGTGGAAGTGATTCTAACGTATTGTATGCTTTGTTTATGGGAGAGGTGAAATTGAGTTTAACGTCGCGTCCAAGATTATTGCACTTATATAGCGACGTGCATGTACGTGTGTTCGTGTGTGTGTGTGGCTGCTTGTACTAGTCCGGACTGATGCCGATTTATAGTGCTAGCTCACTGAGATACCATGCCCCAGTTTAACATGAATACCCCACTCAGAAACAGTATACTGACTCCGAGCCGACCAGTCCTTGTTTTAGTCTCTGAATGCCGAGCGCCAGACAGGTTAACCACAAGTACTGTCTTTTAACGTCTTTTGGTATAACGGGGATCGAACCCCGGGCGGACGCTCTACCACGAGACCACGGAGGCGGGCGCATTGTTTATGACGTAATGTACATGAATACTGACAGGTAATCCCCAATTATGATTTAGGTCCTATAAGCACAATACCGTCGTTGCGTTGTTCCCTGCATTAAGCTGACACAGATATTTTATACCTCTTTTCCTCATCCAGATAGAGAGATTCTACCGCCCCACCTATCTCAACAGAGCCTTCAGGGACTGTGAGATCACGTCATTCGGGTACGTTCCTTTTAGGTCGTCCATGATATTTAGTGTGTTTCTCGTGATCACATCCTTGAAGAATCCGGGTTAGAACTGGTCTTCAGCAACCCATGCTTATCGTATGTGGCGATTAACAGGATCGGGTGGCCAGGCTCACTGACTTGGTGGATGCATGTCATCGTATCACAGTTGTGTAGATCGTTGCTCATGGTTGCTGGTCGCAGTTTCACAAAGCGACCATGGCCCTAAGACGATCGTAACTCTCATACTTTAACATAGACTGACGACAGTCGTACGTCGAGCTACGATCGCTTTGTGAAACTGCACCCGGGTCATGACCCCTTCTCCGTCAACATTTGAATGATGCCTAAATTTTAACATACGATTCAAACATAGACATATGAATCTGACAATAAAACGAAAAAAATATATCTCACTTTTAAATGTTCTTGTGGTATAATGACTAAAATATCCATTGGCATAAGTGTATGACTTATCCAATGAGAACTGTCTACAATGACTGTTTGGGGATTTATTTCGTTTCGGAATTGGAATAGTAATATATATATAAAGAAAGAAATGAGTTTGTAATATTTTGGAGGGGGAAACGGTTATGTTTGTTACCGCAGAATTTTGATCATTTTACCGCAGCATTTTGATCATATTACATCAGAATCTTTATCATATTACCGCAGCATTTTGATCATTTTACCGCAGAATTTTGATCATTTTACCGCAGAATTTTGATCATTTTACCGCAGCGTTTTGATCATTTTACATCAGAATTGTTATCATATTACCGTAGCATTTTGATCATTTTACCGTAGAATTTTGATCATTTTACCGCAGCATTTTGATCAGTTTACTACAGAATTTTGATCATTTTACCGCAGAACTTTGATAATTTTACCGCAGCATTTTGATCATTTTATCGTAGCTTTTGTCTGGGATTAAATTTAGTAGTCTTGCTAATATGTTCTTACTCCAACAGAAAGGACTCTGAAACGATCGAGTTCCGTGTGTCTTTTGACACTCCAGTGTTCCCCAGTCTGCAAGGAGACATCTTGTACTTCCTGGAAGACGCCGCCCCGAGGTTTAACATCTCCACCTACACCGTCATGGACGTAGGCGACATCTACCTCATCTGGAAAAACTTCTCGTACGCCATCATCACCCCGGAGCCGATCATCACCACCATCATGTGGACGCCATCTTCATCAATAACACCCACGAGTACAACGCAGGTGACTACGCCGTCAATCACCCCGACCACGCCAACCACTACAACAGAGGACCCGTCACGTAAGGAGTAATTTGTTTAGTAATTAGAGGTACCGTATTCGACCTTATAAGCGCCCAGGGCGCTCTCAAAATTAGACATAAGGGGCTCTTATTAGAATAATATTTTGAAAAAAACAGAGTTGAAAGATAAATTTCATGGTTTATGCTGACAGCCTGAAATGTTCAAGTACGACAGATATATTTTTCCAGATTTCAATTGCCTATAATTAAGGTTGCATATAACACACGAGTGCTTATTATACACGAATAAATAAGACTTGTGTACATTGATCAATTGGAAGGGGTGCTAATTGGGATTGTTCACTAGCCAATATATTAGCAAATACCGCCGTGGGCGCTCATTACGTCGAATACGGTAATAAGTTTACTTAAAGGACGAGATTACAACCTCTTGTCATGTATTATTATTATTATTGCAGAGCTGTGGGAATTCCGGGTAAGAATATAGGTCCGCAGTTGCATATGATTTTCTCCCGTGAAGATTCCGGGTGAGAATAGGTCTTCAGAAACCCATGCTTGTCGGAATAGGCGACTAACGGGATCGGGTGGTCAGGCTCGCTGATTTGGTTGATGCATGTCATCGTATCCCAATTGTGTAGATCGATGCTCATGATGTCAATCACCAGTTTGACTGGTCCAGACTCCATTTTTTACAGACCGCCGTCATATAGCGTGAATATTGCTGAGTGCCACGTTACACAAGAAACCGAGCAAATTACTTCAATAGATTTTATTTGAATTCGTTAATTTTTATTTGATATTTGCCTATAATTGCTATAATTTGCATGGCATTTTACGCTCAGTGGAATCTGTCTCGGCAGATAATCGCGACTGATTTTTCTCTGGCGTTGACGTTTTTATTTTTAATTATATTTAACAGTTACCATTCATGTCTGTATTATTATTATTTTTATTTATTATTTTTATTTTTATTATTATTATTATTATTATTATTATTATTATTTATTTATTTATTTATTTTTTATTTATTTATTTTTATTTATTTTTTTTATTATTATTATCATCATCATCATCACCAATTGAGGCATTCAACCTACCTTACTTTTATTGCTTAAAATTTCTTTTGTTATATAATATATAATAATCTGAAACTTTAGTTGTTTATTATTATTCGCGTCTCCGGGCCACTTGGTTGCGGTAGGCCACAGGCGACTGGCCATGGCTCTCTGCTCGTATACATGTAATGGCGACTTACTTCCACTTCGACCATTTCTACTCCTGTTAACCCTGACTCGTTCAATACGTCTCTATGCGTCCTGCATTCGCCAAAAGCGCTTTGTACGCTTGACATTCCAGTTGTGTGATCCGGAGCTCATTGACTGCCTTAGACAACGGCATTAAATCCACGTCTATCCCTTTCAGTGAACTGGCTCCACGCCAAATTTGACTTCCGGTTGTTGGACTTCAGCTATCTCCCTGACCTCGCTGACCCCAACTCCCAACTCTACCAGATATACGAGCGCAAGTTCTGTGATGACGTAAGTGGAGAGAATGGCTGGAGACATTCCACGCTTCAGCTGTGATCAGTTATAATTGAGGTTTTTTTTACGTTGCAGCTAAACGGAATTGATTTTCTGTACCGCCGTTTGACCTTTCCAGCTAAGGTGTAATATCCTAGTATGATTGCGGCGGGGAACATTATCAGTTGGCTTGGCACGAAATCGCAATTGGTGATCGTCCATTCTGTGGACTTTTAAGATGACCATGATATGAATCACTGGATTGTCTGTCCAGACTCGATTATTTACAGACAGACAAATCTTGAACGCGATGTTAAACCCCACCTCACTTCACCTCACCTCGCCTTATAATTAGACCCGTGAAGATCCGGGGTAGAATAGGTCTTCAGCAACCCAAGCTTGCCGTTAAAGGCGACTATGCTTGTCGCAAAAGGCGACTAACGGGATCGGGTGGTCAGGCTCGCTGACTTGGTTGAAGCATGTCTTCGATCCCAATTGCGTGGATCGATGCTCATGATATTAATCACTGGATTGTCTGGTCCAGACTCGATTATTTACAGACCGCCGTCATATAGCTGGAATATTGCTGAGTGCGGCGTTAAACAACTAACAAAACAGACCAAACCTTATAATTAATTATTCCATCATTCGTGCGCCCCTGAAGATGCGGCGGTTCTACGACCAGAGTTACCTGTCCATGGTGTACCGGGGATGCAAGATACGGGAGTTCCAGTGAGTTGAAACCTGAACACTCTTTGGTTTAGTAAACTGAGAAAAATAAATATTGATTCTATTTAAGTTCGGAATCACTTCAGGTAATATAGTAGTTCTACGAAACAACGCGAGATAATGTTCGCCTCTGTAACGTGTCCGTTAACGTTGTAGGTACAAATGCACCAAGTGTTTTTTTCCGATGCACGAGCAACGAAACTGTGCTGATGTGAATATTTATCAAACTGGGATTTTAAGATCTACATAACTCACCTTGATAGGATTTGTAGTCTTATCTGGGTAGATGGGATTCGTAATATATTAAAGAATTTTTAAGCAAACACTTCAAATGGTCAAATCTAAGTTTCCAATCTCTCGGGATATTCTGCAGAAATTCAAACTTGGGGTATGTTGTGCTAAAACCAGTTAGCAAGGGCAACACGTATGAAACACATACTCTCTTTAATAACATTTACGAGCCTCGAAGATGGACGCGGCACTAATAATTGTTTTAGCATATTAAATTGACAGAAAAATTGAATAAATGTCTGTCCTCATAATTTGTAATTTTTCCACATTCCACGTTATGAAATATAGGGGCGTAAGCCAGGATTAAGAGCACTAGTACCGTACAATTCAAGGATTCGACCTATTTTGATAAACTGCTACTTGTTATTCCGCGTTATAAAAAAATACCAATATTTAAATCTATTTATAAATTTAATATCTTTAAAGTTACAATTTAATTTTAGTTGACGACCGCACTTTTTATATTCTAGAGTTATGCCTGGGATTGTAAATTGAAGATTATATTATTATCGAAAAAACTTTTTTCTCAGGTTTTATTCAGAAAATACCGTTTGTCCTGAAGCAGTAAACGAAAAATTGTCTTACTCATATTGACATATCACACTTGATTTCAAGTTTCTGTACTTTCACCTATAACATAGCATCGGCATTCACCTTGACCTGTCACCGTATATTTTGACCTTCACCTTTTCACATAGTACGACACGCCACCTTGAAAGTTCTCATAGAACCCCCATATACCTTTGCAGTTCACCTTTCACTTAGCGGGACATGTTGACCTACCACATAGTACCAGTTGTCACCTTGAAACTTAATATAGCGCCCAATGTCATCTTCACTCTCATACACTTTCACCTTGACCTTTCACCTGTGACCTAGCCCTGACGGCCGTATCCAGTACCACCTTGCCCTGGAGACGCCAGTGTTTCCCAACCTGATGTCGGATATCATCGCCACGCTGTACAAGGGCGCTCCCAAGATGGACATCCGCCAGCACGAGGTGCTGGATGTCGGGGGCCTCCTGCTGGTGTGGAGCAACTACACCCTCCAGATTGTCCCCCCTCAGCCATACAGCACCACCCTCTTCTGGACCCCACCGAGCTCCACACCTCCCGTTACCACGACTACCATTGAGTCCAGCTTTTCCTCAGTGGAAATGACGTCATCCATATATACAACGCCAGAGCCCCCAGGTGAGCGTATTCACGAAGCTGTTTAATGTCTTAACTACGACCAATCTTAGCAACTTACGACAGAATATACGACGGTCGCGACAGCTATTCTTGAAGCTGTCTCAAACCTATCTGTAAACGACATGTGAGGTGAGGTGAAATTGGGTTTAAAGATTATTGCACTTATATAGCGACGTGCATGCGCGTGTGTTTGTGTGTGTGGCTGCTTGTACTAGACCGGACTACTATAGTGCTAGCCCACTGAGATACCATGCCGCAGTTTAACATGAATACCCCACTCAGACACAATATACTGACTCCGAGCCGACCAGTCCTTGCTTTAACCCCTCAATGCCGAGCGCTAGAAAGGGTAACAACAAGTACTATCTTTAAACGTCTTTTGGTATGACGTGGCCGGGGATCGAACCCCGGACCTTCCGCTCTCCGGGCGGACGCTCTACCACTACACCACGGAGGCGGTTGTAAAGGACAGGATGCAGTGGACAGATAAACTAAACACTTCGAAAACGTATATTCGATTTGTTGTAATATTTGGTATAATGGCCAGTTTAACTTTAGTTGCTCTCGGTAAAGTCTTTGATATGCATTTAGAAGTTGGGAGAACATGAATACATGACACTTTTTCATGGACAGCAACTTCTTGTATTCTTTGTCAAGATGTTTCAGAGCTACTTCTTGCTTTTTCGCCAGATGAAGGAGCAAGAAGTAGCTCTGAAACGTCGTGACAAAGAATAAAAGTTGATATTCATAAAAAAAAGTGTAATGATTATTTGTTATTGGTATTTAGGTATTGGATAGTTTACTCAAACACAACAATGTCATCGTACGGGTTCAAATCTAAATCGATGAGTTTGGAGATGGATTTGAACACAAAAACATCTTTTCTGATGTGCGTTTTCATTGTGCATCAATATACTAGTATATACCGACGAATCGTTTGCTACTCGATGGTAGACGTCGTATGCTCAAAGAACGCTCCTAGTCTGTGTCCATATGCGTCTTAATGTTATTATACCTTCGTGAACAGGCCGTCACTTTCACAGCTATGACACAGTGTTCTGCTTTGTAACTGTTTCGTATACATACGTTTCCCAACGACTCCATAGGGGGCTATTATTTGAATATAATTTTGGTGAAAGAGTTGAAAGATCGTAAAATTCGTGGTTTATGCTGACAGCCCGAAATGTTACAAAAGAAAAATATGTGCGTATTATACACGACAGATATATTTTTCCAGAATTTAATTGCCCATAAATAAGGGTGCATATAATGCACGAGTGCGTATTATACACGAATAAATTAGTTCGTCTACATTAATCAATCGGAAGGGTGCTAATTGGGATCGTTCACTAGCCAATATATTAGCAAATATCGCCGTGGTCGCTTATTGGAACGAGGCCCTTATTACGTCGAATATGGTCACAGCTGGTAGCACTGATAGATTCTAACGCTCTGGATAGGTCGACCCTGGAATGTGTGGAATCCCTGAGGCAATATTACCAGAAAACACTTTCCTGTGGGGCTTCAGAGGTCATTCATGATCGTAACTGTAGAATATGAAATTGCAACAAATTAACTCGTGAAACATAATGTTTTTAGTTCACTTATCTTGCACATTCCTTTTGAAATGATCCCCAAAAGGATCAGACCTTAGAGGAAGGTTTAAATTGCATTACTGCACCGCTCAGCTGTTTAGGGAAGACATAATATCGCTCCTTCCAGTCTTGTGGCTACAACAGAACACAAATCGACCCTGTTCAGGAGTCCAACTCAGGAGTCCAACTCTGAAGTCCAACTCAGGAGTCCAACTCTGGAGCCCAACTCAAGAGTCCAACTCAGGAGTTTAACTCAGGAGTCCAACTCAGGAGTCCAACTCAGGAGTCCAACTCTTGAGTCCAACTCAGGAGTCCAACTCTTGAGTCCAACTCAGGAGCCCAACTCTGGAGTCCAACTCTGGAGTCCAACTCAGGAGCCCAACTCTGGAGTCCAACTCAGGAGTCCAACTGAGGAGCTCATCTCAGGAGCCCAACTCAGGAGCCCAACTCTGGAGTCCAACCCTGGAGTCCAACTCAGGAGTCCAACTCAGGAGTCCAACTCAGGAGTTCATCTCCAGGTTGCGTCACCCACCATTACAGCAACATGTGATTATTGTAAGCATCTCCAGTTTCTCAAGGCTCGTTTCTCCCTTCAGAATACGTGTTGGCGATATTCCGATTTGGTCTGCTAGACTTCCCCTATCACCCTGATCTGGCCAACAAGGACTCCATGCTGTTCAAGCTCGTTCAGAAAAAGTTCTGTGATGATGTAAGTAATTTATACCATCGGCTTGTTTTCTTCGTTTTTGTTTGTTTGTGTATTTGTTTAACACCACAATCAGTAATATTGTGGCGTAGATCGAACCTATTGATATTTAAAACTTTGAACTTCGTCCCACGACATCGGGGTGCGATCAACCAAGACCTTTCAACCGATCTATTTAGTAGCGTCTTCCAATTGCGGGTGTTCGTTAACTTGTTTCGAGTAGTATATGTCTGTTTTAAGCGACCCCAGAAATTCATTACTTCCTTCCGTTGAACGTTACTGGAAGGCATTTTAGTTTGAAAAGTTTTTAACATTTTTCTTCTTTTTTTCTATCCCTGATCTGTGGAATATTAAACGGAAAAAAAGCAACGAGGTTTATCATGTTCTGACTCCCACGCCAAGTAACATATATTTTACCGACGCTTCAGTATTTGTACCGGGTTTCGCGTTCGTTGTGATGCATATTTGATGTCGTTTCAGATCCGGAAACTGTACCAACGAACGTATTTGTCCGTGGTGTTCCGAGAATGTCATATATCAGAGTTTGGGTAAGGCACACGCTACTTGTCATGTTGTTGTTGATTAGTTCTAGGGGGTAATTAAGAGACCTACCGTATTCGAAGTAATAAGCGCTCGGGGGGGCTCTCAAATTTAGTAATAGGGGGCTCTTATTTAAATATAATTTTGGTGAGAAAAAAACCGTGGTTTATTCTGACAGCCTGAAATGATACAAAAGAAACGTATGTGTGTATCATACTCGACAGAATTATTTTCCAGAATTTAATTGCCCATAATTAAGGGTGCATATAAAACACGAGTGCGTATTATGCACGAATAAATAAATATTGTCTACATTAATCAATCGGAAGGCGTGCTAATTGGGATTGTTCACTAGCCAATATATTAGCAAATATCGCCTTGGGCGCTTATTAGAGCGGGGCGCTTATTACGTCGAATACGGAATTTATCGTGTTTGGAATATAGAAAGGCTGCAAATCACATTTTGGTATGCATGTGTACTTACAATGAGTGAGTTGGGTTTTTAACGCCGCTTTTGACAGTATTCCAGTTATATCGCGGCATGTAAGTTTAATGTAGGAGGAAAGTGCGGGTATGGTGCTGAGAAACCTAGAAACATAATCGGGTCCAACCGGGATTCGAACCCACAATCATAGGTTTCTGGTGTGCCCAAGGGACGCAACTCTGCACAGCGAATCGCGGCGCCTTGAACGAGGAATGATAGAGGGATTCGATTGAAGAATAAATAGCCAAAGAAAAAATGGTTAAAACGTTACATTCTGTCTCCATAATGTTCCAGCACTGATCCGGATACGTTCAAATTCTACATCGCTTTCGAGACGCCGGTGTTTAATCGGCTCCAGGGCGACATCTTGAACGTCCTGGAGACGGAGGCACCCCGGCTGAACATGTACGGCTACACCGTATTAGACATCGGGGAGCTCTTCCTCATGTGGGCCAACTTCTCCTATATCCTTGTGGACAAGAGGATGAAGAGCACCATCCAGTGGGCGCACACCGTCACACCGACGTCCACGTACACCACACAGTCCACAATCACTACAACGACGATGCCTACTACGACTGAAGGTAGGTAGTAACTAGTTTATTGTTACCGTGTTTATGACGTAACACCATTGTTGGCCCGTGAAGATCCGGGGTAGAATAGGTCTTCAGCAACCCATGCTTGTCGTAAAAGGTGAAAATTGCTTGTCGTAAGAGGCGAGTTACAGGATCGGGTGGTGAGACTCGCTGATTTGGTTGATGCATGTCATCGTATCCCAATTGCGTGGATCGATGCTCGTGATATCAATCACTAGATTGTCTTGTCCAGACTCCATTATTTACAGACCGCCGTCATATGGCTGGAATATTGTTGTGTGCGGCGTTAAACAACAAAGCAAAATTATAGAGAAATTGTGAATCAACCGTCGGAGATATCACTAGAATCTGTTTATTTTGGGGCTCGATGATTCTGCACCCGGAATAAGTAGACCCGAGATATATCTCCATTACATGGAAAACTAGGGGTGCCTGTATGGTAAATTGTGAAAATAATTGTTTGGTTCAGAATAGGGATTTCTTTAATGGCTTCTTTCATTTAGAGTTATTATGACAATGTATTCAATGGTTTCTCCATGTATCTCAGTATTGGCTCTGTTGTGAGCAAATACAAGTCTACCCGTGAAGATCCGGGGTAGAATAGGTCTTCAGCAACCCATGCTTGTCGTAAGAGGCAACTAACGGGAACGGGTGGTCAGGCTCGTTGACCTGGTTGATGCAAGTCATCGTATCCCAATTGCGTGGAACGATGCTCATGATATCAATCACTAGATTGTCTGGTCCAGACTCCATTATCTATTGGGTAGATAATGGTAGCTGGTTGCAGTTCCTCAAAGCGATCACAACTCTCAAACTTTAACATTTGCGTTGGTCGATGCCCATTGTCCACACTCGATTATAAGGGTAATAGTAGACTAGTAGCAGGAATGAATCGATGTTGCTGAATTGGATTGAACCAACATACATGTCATTACATTAAGCCGAGCTTGAAAACTAATCTGTTGACTTGCGAACAAAATTATCGGCCTTGGAGAGCAGGATTCAAAGTTCAAAGGTTTAACACGCTTTTAGCAATTTGCCACACTTCATTATCAAGTGACACCAATAATTTCCTTCCGCATTGTGCACATCTGCTCAACACAATATTTTGAGTCGTCTGCTGCAAAACAGGGGAGGCCACTCTAATTCAACCGGGCGACCCTAACCGTTGCTAAGTGTATCTATGCGATACAGTGCGTTATCAAGATCGTGAAATTTTCGAACGTTTTATCTTACAGCTACCTACCAGCTGAAGCTTTCTTTTGAGGTCCTGAACCTGACGATGTCGGAAACGTTACGCAACGTGAACTCTGCCGAGTTCAAACTAAGGGAACAGTTATTCTGTAATGACGTGAGTAATCTTCCTTTGCATGTGATGAGTTGTCTCCCTTAGCTCCTAACTTTCAATGCTACCATATGTGTCAACAGAAAACAAACGATAGTGTTAAGATATTACATGACAAGATCACTCTGACACAACAGCTGTTAGGATTGACACCTTCATATAAATGAGGGGCGGTCGGGTAGCCTAGTGGTTAAAGCGTTCGCTCGTCACGCTGAAGACCCGGGTTCGATTCCCAACATGGGTACAATGTGTGAAGCTCATTTCTGGTGTCCCCCGCCGTGATATTGCTGGAATATTGCTAAAGCGGCGTAAAACCGTACTCACTCACTCACTCACTCACTCATATAAATGAAGGTAAACTGCATTTATAGCAGCAACCATTATTAAAGTGGCACTCGACTAAATATCTGGTGTCTAGAATTATTGCCATGTTTAAATCTCATTAAAGTTATGTTTATGTATGACAACTTCTTATGCTATTATGATGCGACGTTTCGGCATAGATCATTATACCGTTGTCAAGCAAGAGTACACCGAAACGTTGTCATACATACAGCATATTTTGTCTTTAATGTTTCTTACCAGCTTCTATAAATGCCAATCAAACAGTTTAAATCTGAAGCATTGTCCAACTGTATATAGGTAAACCTTAAACTGTGAGATGTATCAGTATTTAAAGTTGTATTTATTGATTCTTTAATAGTTACTATTCTATTAGAGTATGTTGTTAAAAGGCCAGTTGACGCCCTTGCCTCGGGAAGATAAGTCTTCCCTACAAACTAAATCCCCTAAAATATTCATAATTCCTAACTTTTTTGTTCAGCATTTATGAAAGAAGATCCTGTTTGTTTAAGCCATTGTTTTATATTTTTCAGATATCGCAGTTGTTGTTGAATCATCCGTTCAAGTTCCCCGACTACAAGTCGTGTCGATTCGACCAGTTCACGTGTGTACATAATATTCAATAAGCTTTGCACTGATAGGATCACTCCTATAACTCTTCTTCAGTCATTTGGCGGTGGGGTAGCCTTATAGCTAATTTGTCGTAAGAGGCGAGTTACAGGATCGGGTGGTGAGACTCGCTGATTTGGTTGATGCATGTCATCAGTTGCGTGGATCGATGCTCATAATATCAATCACTGGATTGTCTGGTCCAGACTCGATTATTTACAGACCGCCGTCATATAGCTGGAATATTGCTGAGTGCGGCGTTTAACAACAAACCAACCACACAAAAACCATTTCTGGTGTCCCCGCCATGATATTGCTAAAATATTGCAAGAAGCGGCGTAAAATATCACTTAACCGTTATTCGTAGGGAAATAGGTATTTAAGTGTCGGCACAAAGATGATTCCGGGGAGCGAGTGAGTATGGTTTTACGCCGCTTTTAGCAATATTCCAGCAATATCTCGGCGGGGGACACCAGAAATGGACTTCACACATGTACCCATGTCGGGAATCGAACCCGGGTTTTCCGTGTGACGAGCGAACGCTTTAACCACTTGGCTACCCGACCGCCCCTCATTTTTGGGAGAACAGGTCCCACCCAACAACATTAAGTTTGTTTAAAGAGGCAGTCGTAGAGGGAATGAGGCGGTTACAGTCTGATGCAGAGTGACGTCACGGATGTTGAGAATCGAACCGCGAGGGTCAATCGGTGTTCACGTTATTGACCACTGGTTTGTTTGAAATATGACTGATTGCTGTGATATAGGTCACAAATGGCTCTCCTTATCGGTGATTACCTTTGCTTGTTGCCTTTTTTATCGCCGCTGCTGGCAATATTCCAGCCACATCACGGCGGATATAAAGCGACTGACAGGGATTTATCAAATTTAATTATCGTTGAGTTCCGTTGACATGCATGAACCAAGTCAGCAAGCCTGACTACCCGATCCCGTTAGTCGCCTCTTACGACAAGCGTAGTCGCCTTTTACGGCAAGTATGGGTTGCTGAAGACCTTTTATACCCCGGTTCTTCAAGGGTCTCTAGATCATCTATTTGACACCCCAGAATGTTCTTTTGTTCAAACAAACATAAGAGTTTACTCAGATGATTATCAAGTTGGGAATTAGCTGATTGCGTGTTATCATACCCGGGCAGCTTATGGCGTTGTTCATCAATTACTGGTTTGCCTCGCCTCGATGCCTTCCAAGCCTCGATGATATCGCTGGAGTATTGGTGACCACGGAGAAAAGCAACATCCAACCTTTCAATTTCAATTGTCATTTTAATTGCCGTTTTATGGTGATGTTTTTTTTTAAATAAACAGGAGCGACCCGTTGAGAATAAACTACAGCCTCGTTTTCATCGGACAACAACCGGAAGAGATGAGTGAGAGGGTTGTGGGTATTCTGATAGAGGGCGCTCCGAGAGAGAACTATTTGGATCTGATTGGCTTACGCGTTGGGAACATGCTTATAGCCATAGACAACTTCACGGTTCACATCCACGACTACTCAACGCTACCTCCACTCTTCACGACACCGCCGGTGTCTTATGGTAGGCATAACTGATGAGCAAGACGTTTTTTTAACTTCCTCCAAAAAATTGAAACGTGAAAAAAATGAAAAGCAGCAGATTTTTATGATCCGCCATCCAGAAAACGGAAACTGTTAAATGTTGTTATCAGTGTAGGTAATTTTTTGTAAAATAAATTACTTTAAATATAACCTGCATGGGATGATCTTAAAATCTCCCGTCCCCATTTTATTTCCCCTATTCACTTAGCATTTCAAAGAGGTCCAATATTTTAAACTAGAAATATTATTTGATTCAACCAACAAAAAATCAGTACACCAAAAACATTTCTGGCCTAAAGATAACGGAATACATAACTGGAATGTCTTCAAGACCATTCCTTAAAAGCAAATGATACTCATTGTATGGACGTACATGCTGTAGGGATGTACTCGCCAACAAATGTTTAACATATATTTACATATGTGTATACGTTATATATTTTTTTTAAATATTGAATGAGGCGTAAAACAACATCCTCTCCCCACTTTTCCACTGCCACTTTTTACGCACAATCCATGGAGCGATTCCATTCGTAGATTTAATACTCTGATATACATATAAATCATTATGATTTGTAAATATATGCACAGCGGACTCTGTGTTATCCGACGTCTGTCTAATTCGGCATTCTGTCTCATTCCACACAAAAAGTGTTGGTCCCAGCCCTGTTCCCTATTCTCTTGTATATGTTTCCTTATTGTACTCACGACGTCTGCAACGTCATTTTCTTGCTCCCCCTCAGATGCTCTGTTGTACAACATCACCTTCAAGATGTTCCCCGGGAACTACAGCACGGCGATGCAGGATACCTCATCAAGCTACTACCGGCAAATCACAAAGAGATTCTGTTCCGAGGTTTGTTTGTATGTTTGTTTGATGTTTAACGCCGCACACGGCATGGGTTGCAGAAGACCTATTCTAACCGGATCTTCACGGGTGTTTAGTGAAGACAATTGACACCAAAGTGAAGTATTAAAGTTATCCTTATTCTTAGAATAGGTCTTCAACCCATCCTTGCCGTAAAAGGCGATTATACTTGTCGTAAGAGGCGCCTAACGGGATCTGGTGGCCAGGCTCGCTGACTTGGTTGATGCATGTCATCGATCCCAATTGCGTGGATCGATGCACACGATATTAATCACTGGATTGTCTGGTCCAGACTAGATTATTTACAGACCGCCGTCATATACCTGGAATATTGCTGAGTGCGGTATTTAACAACAAACCAACCAACTTTGTCCTAATCTTTTCAGATCCGGCAATATTTTGGAAACAGTTATGTTCGTGACCGATATTATAGCTGCAAAGTTGATGGCATTACGTAAGTATAAGTACGGTATTTCAACTCAAAACAAGTTAAAAAACACCCGGTGTTTGTCATTGGACTGTAGTTAATCTGCCATTGCTGATTGGTATTGCAACACAATACCTCCAATTGTGGGTTTTGTTTGACGTGTATTGTTATGACTGTTTCAATTCAACTTCGTCGACAGTGTTTGGTTTCAGCACGGAAATCTTCTCATTAAAATAAGAATTGTTTTCCCCATAAACACCCCTCTCTTGAGAAACATGATTCGTGTGTTTTTCTTCGCTAGAGAGGAATGTTTGATGGTAAAATTAATAATGCGTCATTATGAATACCAGTAGAGGATCGTCACGATATGGCTGAAATATTGCCGATGTGACGTAAAGCATAAACTCACTCACTCACTCACAAATAGAGATTGCTGCAGAGCATCAATTGTTCCCCGCCATATAATCTCATATACACAGGAAGGAAGTGTAAGCAATGAGAGGAGAGGATTGGTGTAAAGTACAAATTGGTTGTTATTAATGTAGTAATCTTCGGAAAGCACAATAAAAGAAACAGTGTCTTTAAATGGTCAGCACAAGGAAAACCACGGCAAGAGAACACATAACTGGGCCTGTCAGGCAGAACTTGATAATTATATACCCAGTATTAGTACCAATACTATAGTCCTATATAGATAACACAAGAAATGTTATTCTTAAACATGCCTTGGCAGCAAATATCAATCTTTCTAGTCAAAATGTTGGCTGGGTTAAATACAACAAACTTTTGAAATTGTAAACACAAAACAATGTAATGAATCCACTGTAAATATACTTCAGTCCAAATGTAAAAACATGTTCCCTCATTCATTAAGGGATTCCCATTTATCTAACAGACACTGCTAATTACTGTCTACAAACTGAAAAAATTTGAAGAATGATGTTGGATGATAAATAAAATCTCACCCTCGTGTCTTTTGATTTCAAATAGATCAACACTCGTTGATAAAAGGGGCAAAAAATCCTCGGCAAGCCTAGGAGTTTTTCCACTTTTATCAACTCGTATATAATAATTATATAATTCTCTATATAATACACTTGGTTTAAATTTGTTTTGTTATAATGTACCTCCTTTGTATTCTGAATGTATCTGTGTGTTTTTTCCGTATTGTGCATATATTTTGAAGTTTGTGACACAATGTAGTGTAATACTGCCAATGTTTCTTCATAAAATGTTACGCAATACATATCTCATCTAAAACATCTTTGTAGTATGATAGTTTGTTACAGTTGTGTACGGGGGAACGGTTAGCTTCCACTTCAAGAATGAGAGATAAGGATCTGTTTGCTCAAACTATTCAGGCAGACCATTATGTTTAATGAGTGTAGAAATATATTTTGTTCATACTCCAAATTCACAGCCAAAGCATATCTTAAAGAATGATGTTTTAACCAAAAATATGATCTAAGATGTTACATATATTTTTTTAACCCAGAGGCGGAAGGAATCCCACCCTCAATGCCAACGTTATCGTGTCGGGAACATACGACTTCGGCGCCCCCCTCATCTACGACGTCATCAACTCCTCGGCGTCTGTGTTTAACTTCGGCGGCAGACGCTGGTTGAGAATTGGAGACTTCCTGTTATACGCCGACTCCCCGGGGGAGTCGATCCTGATACAGTGGGGCTACATATCAACAACACCCGCCCCCACCACCCCCCTCCCCTGTAAGAATACCGTAAATGTGTGTACGACTGGGCTCCTGTCTACCGAAACGACTAGACAGGAGACGGCCGATTTGTCCAATCTCATCAAAATCAAATCTAACTTCTCGCTGCTGCTATACAAAGAGAATTGGACATCCCATTCCAGGTCAGACCGCCACCGTGGTCTAGTGGTAGAGCGTCCGCCCGAAGAGCTTAAGGTCCGGGGTTCGATCCCCGACCGCGTCATACCAAAAGACGTTAAAAGATGGTACTTGTTGTTACCCTCTCTGGCGCTCGGCAATAAGGGGCTAAAACAAGGACTGGTCGGCTCAGGGGTATTCATGTTAAACTGCGGCATGGTATCTCAGTTGGCTAGCACTATAAATCGGCATCAGTCCGGACTAGTACAAGCACACACATACACACACACACACACACACACACACACACACACACACACACACACACACACACACGTGCATGCACGTCGCTATATAAGTGCAATAATCTTTGACGCGACGTTAAACCCTATTTCACCTCACCTCACCATTACGGGTCACGTCAGAACGACCTTTCGCGAACATTGACCGACCACTGAAACGACTAACAAGAAGTCGACATCAGACAATTAGGAAGCAGCTTTCTCGAGCTTTACGGCACTCATTTCAACCTTGCGACTTCCATTTCGGACTACGCTTGAAAAATATTTTGACACAGTTCTCTATTAAAATTTTGAAAGCTGAACAAACGAACATTCCGGAATGTCTTATATATGGCTGCGATTGTATGGCAGTGCTTCCCACGTACTGTGCAACGCCTCCTCCGTTCAAATGTTTATCCCACGGAATCGAGAGATAGACGATAATTTTGACGGAATCAGTCGTATGGGCCGTAACTGTCGTTCGGAATACCCCGTTTTAACGTTTTCGAGGTTGCATGATTAGAAAACACATTCCGACTGTCACTTTCATGATCAGGTAAGCGACGGTTTGATTGGTCGGATGAAAGGTCGTTCTGACGTTACCCGTAATGGGATGTCCTCAGATCTTTGTTTAGCGATGTGTTATGGTTATGGCCTAAAACAAACTGTTTTCAATGTCCAAAAGACGCTACGCATGCGCACCTATAACCGAACATACATGTTGTATCACATTTTTCTACCTCCACCTTTTGTCTAATGAGGGGCGGTCGGGTAGCCTAGTGGTTAAAGCGTTCGCTCGTCACGCCGGGTACAATGTGTGAAGCCCATATCTGGTGTCCCCCGCCGTGATATTGCTGGAATATTGCTAAAAGCGGCGTAAAATCATACTCACTCACTCACTCACGTTTGTCTAATGAGCACAAAGCTTACTGCGCTTACCAACAGGGAAACCAGTTGACAAACGTAGGGATAATGCTGTGTCGAATGTCTATCTATGGTAGGATTCTCAGTAAGTGGTCACAGAGAATGTTGACCAGTACAAGTACGGGGCCATCTATCTCACCTAATGTCTCTATTTGTACAGCGACGTTCACCATCTTGGATCTCAGAGCCAACATACTCAACATGACCTACAACCCCGCCTTTGCTCTCACCTCCTCGGCAGCCTTCAGATCTTACGCCATACCCTTCTGTCAGTTCGTAAGTATGACATACGCTGAGGCCAGTTCGCAAATGTGACTTAAACTAAGGCCAGTTCGTAAGTATGGTTCACACTAAGTTCAGTTCGTAAGTATGGCTTAAACTAAGGTCAGTTCGTAAATATAACTTAAACTAAATTCAGTTCTTAAGTATGACTTACACTAAGGCCAGTTCGTAAGTATTGTTCACACTAACTTCAGTTCGTAAGTATGGCTTAAAATAAGGTCAGTTCGTTAATATAACTTAAACTAAGTTCAGTTTGTAAGTATGACTTACACTAAGGCCAGTTCATAAGTTTGACTTACACTAAGGCCAATTCGAAAGTATGGTTCACTCTAAGGCCAGTACGTAAGCATGACTTAAGCTAACGCCTGTTTGTAAAAATGTATGTATGACATATCTTTCGGTGACTTCGTAAGCAAGGCTTTTTAGAAGTTTATTCAAGATACGTGAGGAGGCCATCGGCCAGTTACACATATGGGTTGAACACATGACCTATCGGGGAGAGGGATTATACCCGTTATGTTTATTAAATTGCATTGTTTCAAAAACATGGTGGGGGCACGGGTGGCCCAGTCGTCTGAGGCGCCGCGATTCGCTGTGCAGAGTTGCGTCCCTTGAGCACGCCAGAAACCTATGATTGTGGGTTCGAATCCCGGTTCGCCCCGACTATGTTTGACCAGCACCATACCCGTGCTCCTGGGTTTCACCGAAGCGGTAAACGTCTGAGATCTGCATCACTTCGGGCTTTCCTCCAACATGAAGCTGACACGCCGTGATATAACTGGAATACTGTTAAAAGCGGCGTTAAACCCAACTCACTCATTCACTGGTTTCCTGAAGGAGCATATCATCAGTCTTGCCGGTAAATTACCTTCACACGAAATACGAATTCTGAGACAAAGGTTGAAATATTATGTATTACTACAAATTGTTGCTCCCCTATTACCCAAATCCCGCAGAAAAGAAAATATTTTTTTACTTTTGAAGCCCAATTAATTTTACCATTTTCTGCTGCATGAAACATCCTACAAGAACACCTTTGGCTGTATGTACTTTCAAGCATTCGTTAAATACTGCACCATTACTTTAAAACACGTTTGTATATATTCATTGGTATAAAATGGGTATCGGCCGCTTTCTCTTGCAACATGGTTTGAGGTGGATTTTGTAAAAAGCGTTAACAGGCAGAAACATGGCCATTTTCAATAGCATTGCATACATCAACACTCCCACGCTACAGACTCGTGTACAGAATTGCGCTGACTTGTGCATCGACAATTTGAAAGAAACCTGTCTAACAGGGTAGGTTTTAAAATAAACAGTGGCTTAAAAATACCATGAACAACTCGATTGGTTTGACGTAAGAAGTAGTATAGGTAATGGGGGTTCTCTAAGTGGAAGTGAGCCAGAACCCCCATTACCTATACTACTTAAGGCAAAGAGCTACAAACTTGGCTGTCAGTATCCCATGTTTACTGCGTTTATTGGGATACAAACCGCCTCCGTGGTCTAGTGGTAGAGCGTCCGTCCGGAGAGCGGAAGGTCCGGGGTTCGATCCCCGGCCGCGTCATACCAAAAGACGTTAAAAGATGGTACTTGTTGTTACCCTGTCTCGCGCTCGGAATTAAGGGGCTAAAACAAGGACTGGTCGGCTCGGAGTCAATATACTGTGTCTGAGTGGGGTATTCATGTTAATCTGCGGCATGGTTTCTCAGTGTGCTAGCACTATAAATCAGTCCGGACTAGTACAAGCAGCCACACACACACGTGCATGCACGTCGCTATATAAGTGCAACAATCTTGGACGCGACGTTAAACCCAATTTCACCTCACCTCACCTATTGTGATACAAAAGAAGCCTTATTTGTGCCCTACATAGTTGTTGACCCCTTGCTTGATAAATGAGGTACCAGCATCTGTATCCAAAACGTGACATTGCTACATCTTCTGATTGCGCTGAAAGATACTCATTCAGCTCATTTATTCTGTTAACAGCTGGGTAAGAAATTCACAGAGAGGAACCGGTTCCCTGACTACTTCGGATGTCGTGTTGTGTCAATTAGGTGAGTTATACTGTTTGTTTGTTTGTTTGTTTGTTTGTTAAGGGGATATGCATACTGTGTTTTCAATTGTGCGTTCGGTTCCCAATAAGTCAATTTATCAATTCAATTTCAATTCATTTCAGTTTATTCATATACAGTAAACTACGTTCATAACGAACACGCTTATAACGAACTGTTGGATATAACGAACTGTTTCTTGGTGCGATAAACCAATCCGATAAACTTGATATAATGATTCGATAAATGTGCAAATGTCTATCAGGGACTACTTTTAATAAGCTCCATACATCTATGCGATACCTACTTGCTTGAAAAACTATTGCCTAACGTTCCTAAAATGTTTTGAGTTTTTCTTATGTGTGTGTTTTTATGTAAAGAACCATGGCTGCAAGTAATTTTGGTGCGATATAAAAAACGAGTCAGTTCACACAGGTATTCAAACGCGGTTTCTAAAGCTACTTTAGTTAATGAAAACATCGCTTAATGCCCTCGACTACCTATATGAGAAACGAGATGCGGGGGAGTATTTAGGGGGGTTACTGCGGTCGCTAAATGCCGATTGGCTTTTTTAGAAATCCTGCAATTTCATTGGTTAATGACGCATTGCCGGAACTACATTTTCCGATTCATCATGTTCATTCATCTTTTTTCTGCTATACGAGACTTGTCAATTACAACAAAAAGCCCTAAAAATTATTTTTTTAAATTAATCAAAATATAATATTGTCGACACGTGTTTTTTACGATAATTGAATACACAAAACATAAAAAATAATTTAGATTTGTAAGTACATTAAATTTGATTGAATAAAACAACAAAGGCGACGTTGTTGTCCCCGATAAAAGTGAACGATCTTGTGAGGATTGGTTGGAGGAGTAGTGAACATAATACAGCTATTGAACAGTTTTAACATTAATTTATCATTTTTGGATAATTTGATGGATGAGGATTTCTTGGATGGCCCGAATGACATCCCTGATGTTCCATAAGAATCAGACAGATTTGTTGATGATTTGTACATGATGGCGGCATTGACAAATACTTGGCAGAAAAAGAAAATACAAACACTAGAAAAGAAACTATGCTCAACATGCGGGTTGTCAAAACGTTTCTTTCAGAAAAATTGAATGAGCAACGCCCGTTTGAAGTTATCCCTCCTACTGAACTTAACAAGATAATGTGCAAGTGTTTCATTGGCGTTAGGAAACAGGATGGTTCCGAGTACGAACCAAGCTCACTCATTGGATTCAAAGGCAGTTTAGATCGTCATTTAATGCGCAAAGATTATGACTTCTCCTTTTCCGATTCATTTTAATTTTCCCAAATGAGGGACAACATCAAGTAAAAAAACCGAAAAAAACAGGGAAAGAGTAACTAACCTTACAGAGCGGAAGCCATTTTCAACCGCTAGCTCTCCACAAAGCTTCGATGTCGGAACGTGTGGAGCCGTACAACCAACGTGAATTAAGGATAAATACGCAAACGGAAATAGTTTTTACGTTTTAAGATGTTTTTGCTGAATATTATCCATTTTATGACAAATGTTTATCTAAATGTGAAGACGAATCGTCACATATCTGTGGCCTTTGGCAGAGTAATTAGGTTGAACGCAAGGAACTCCGGTCTGATCATTACAATGAAGGGTGGTTATTGTGATTTGAAAACCTAATATTATCTAAATTCATGCTGATTTGATTGATACCTTTTATTGATCCCAATCGCGTGGATCGATGCTCATGATATTAATCACTGGTTGTTCTGGTCCAGACTCGAATATTTACAGACCGCCGTCATATAGCTGGAATATTGCTGAGTGCGGCGTTAACAACAAACAAACAAACATGGTTCCCTATTTCACTTCTTGCGGCTATTATGTTTATTTGTATTGTTTTAGCATAGAATTATTTTCTTGGAATGTGGGGGTGGTAGTTTGTCATTTTAGTTGTGTCATGAAGGAAGATCCGGGTTAGAATTTGTCAGCATCCCATGCTTGTAAGAGACAACTAACGGTATCGGGTGGTTAGGCTTGCCGACTTTGTTAATGCATGTCATCGTATCCTCGATCGATGCTCATGATGTCAATCACTGGATTGTATGGTCCAGGCTCGATTATTTACAGACCAAAGGTATGTAGCTGTAATATTGCTGAGAGCGGCCTTGTCACCAACAACAACAAAATGGAGGTGGATTAGCAACAGTTCTTTTAATGATTGATTTTATTAAGTTAACCTATCGGTGTCTTATCCTATTCCAGCAACAACCCCTTTTCGGTGAGGTTCAGTCTGAGGTTCCGGGGGATGCAGGAGGAGTTTCTACAGGCGCTGGTGCCCGACATCCTCATTGAGTGGACGCGGACCCCGGAGGCAGACCGTCTGATTGTGGGGCCCCTGACGCTGGACGAGCGGTCTATCAGGGTGAAGCAGAGATACATATCCGATGGAAACATCGTCACCCGCGGGCCACTCAGGACAACGCCCTCTGTGTTTATACCGACTACACCTGCTCCACCTACGACGACTGCAGGTAACGGGGGAAGGGAAGTGGTGTCTGAGGTGTGCTTGTTTGTTTGTTGTTTAACGCTGCACTCAACAATATTCTAGTTGTATGACCACGGTCTTTAATAGGTGGAACAATGACCAGACAATCCAGTGATTGAAGTCATAAGCATCGATCTACGCAATTCACCTTCCCGAGGCAAGGGCATTAACTGACTAAAAAAGTCCAGTTTCCATCCTTGCCGAACGAGGCTGGAATTTCTCGGCTCGATCGTAGCCCAGTGGTTATTACGAGTTATGTCCCTTTTATGTCCCTCCAACTGACCAATCAGATTCCATCTCTCATATCACTTTGCACAAAATGGCGGCGCACACTCAAGACGTCCTGATCGGCCATATCAAGATCTATATTGTAATAAAACGGATCTTAACCCGCTAAAGGCATCAAATTAAAGCGCCTTTATTTTCAAAATATTTGTTGACGCCCAGTTGACGATATACATGCTTTGCAAATCCTGCAGTTGACCGAAATCTGGACATTGAAATCCATGTTGTTTACTAACCGGATGTCTACTTACTTGATTTTGATTTGACTATGCATAGACTTGTTAGTCCAGCCAAAATTCGAGCCCAGTTTGGCAATGGTGGAAAGTGGAGTTTTATAGTCTGTTGATGCCCTTGCCCATGCATCAACCAAGTTCAGCGAGCGTGACCACTCGATCCCGTTAGTCTGGAGCACTGCAGCATGGAACACTCTAACGGGATTCTGGCACACTTGCTCCCCAGTGTCCTTTGCTTGTGGAGGCGAGGCGACGTAAGACCCGTGAAGATCCGGGGTAGAATAGGTCTTCAGCAACCCATGCTTGCCGTAAAAGGCGACAATGCTTGTCGTAAGAGGCGACTGACGGGATCGGGTGGTCAGGCTCGCTGACTTGGTTGATGTATGCCATTGTATCCAAACTGCGTGGATCGATGCTCATGATGTCAATCACTGGATTGTCTAGTCCAGGTTCGATCATTTAAAGACCGTGGTCATACAGTTACAATATTGTGTGCGGCGTTAAACAACAAACAAACAAACGAAGCGACGTAAATACATGTGTTGGGTCGATTCGGTGACTTTGACAGTTGTGTGGGTCATCGTACCTAGGCGAAATGGGACTCGAGTATTTACAGGCTGATACGAAATAGCTTGAAAATGGCTGACTGCGGCAAAAACGACACACAAATACACACACAAACAATACCATACCGCAGGGAAAAACTGCTCGTCATCGAACCATAAGCAAATGGCTATGCCTTGAAGCTATATTATATTTCATATATTTACAGTCATTCTGTACAACGAACCTTCCATATTTGTTGTTTACTGCAGGTTCGAACCCATGTCCGCCTGGAGCCTTCAACACCATCGAACCACACCGGAGTCAGTGCAACAAGTTCTACCTTTGCAATGGCGGCGTTGCCATGGAGATGACCTGTGCCCCAGGTCAGATCCTGGACGCTGTGTACAGAATGTGTATATTGAAGCCCCCAGGTCACGTGTGTCAATTGTAATGGACGTTCGAGGACGGATATTTCTGTCACTGACACGCCCTCTTTGTCCTGAGGGGTCGTTCGCCTCACTCACAGAGCCTTTGTTTTCACCCCTCCCTTTGGCAGCATGAGATGAATATTTTTAGAATATAAGCTGACATTTTTAACAAATTCTAGCAACCATAACTGATTTTGAAATTTTGCTCATTTTGTCATTGTTTTTGGTAAAAGTTAGATGAAGAGACACAGGGTATCGAAAAATGTGTTTTAATGGATATTTGCATATCACTTGAAATAAAAGAAACACATAGCAAATAGTGTTTTACCTGAAAATAAGTTTTTAGAACTCAAGTATTTTTTATTACATACCGAATATAAATTCTGGTCTGTACATACTGTAATGCTTTAGCATGTTCACAATGAACAGGGAGAAGAGATTTCGGCCAGCTCACAGCACAACTACGTACCTTGTCCAATGAAAGATCGACATTTGGTCACGTGGGGTGTATTTATTTATCTGTGGTCACGGGACTGCTGCACGTGCAAGGCATGTTGATTAAGGGTGGTTGTTGCTCTGGTTTAGAAAAGTAAATCGTGACAGATCATTATCGGAATAGTTTTCGGTGGTAGTGTCTATATAATTATATTAGTATTCAGTCGATCACTCATCCGCTCATTCATAATAACTCATTCAGCTAGATATTGATGACATATTCTATTTTTTACCGTTATACAACAGTTGTTACTGTCTGGCCATTGTAAATTTATGTATCAGGTTATGTACATAGCGTTGTCTCGGGAGCTGCTCTCAGTGTACCTTCCTGTACCGTCTTTCCTGTAGCTTAAGCAATACCGATGTATCATAACTCGCTTCAGTTTAACCAACTCCCTCCCTCTTTGTAAAAAAATGTTTAACGCTTAAGCACAGGATCATGATGAAAGCCAGCTATATAAATGATATATCTGTATAGTGCATAGCAGGCGATGGTGTTAGTGTCCGATAAATTCGTGACCAACTTGTGTTGTTCCGGGACATTCCGAATATCGACTCGTGCCCCTCTCATGGCCATTTGTGCGACCGGGTTCCGTCTTAGCGCAAACGGGCATACCTAAAGCAATTGCCAACTCGTTGCGTTATGGTTCACATATATTTCCCAATATATTATGTATATTTCAGATGCAATTTAGAGCACATCGGGACGTACGGAATTATACAGTATGATTGAACACATTTAACTGTGTATTAGGTATATTTTTAGATACAAGACATATGTAAAATCAAAAATTATATCTAAGTTATTCTTTGACGAAGAACTTGAAATAATACGCGCATTCTTATTGGTTTGTCGTATTTTCGCACATTACATTCATCGATAGGGGGACGAGTCTTATTGCAGGTTACGGAAAGAGGCGAGTGGTAACGAATGTGTCCGATAGAGTGAGTTTGCAGTCGCCAGTATAAAGACCAAGTTTCGTTGTACCAATATTGAATATTATGGAATAAATGTTTGTCTCTGCCGCAGATATAGCGGCAATTTTGCTAAAAATGTTAAAAAAATAAACGTATTTACTTTATGAATCGAAATTATAAGGGAATTTGGTGAATTAATTTTGCTTTATCACATGTTAGTGACGGTGTGAGGGTTAATCTTTTGATCCAGGGAATACTAGGAAAACTGTTTTCGCTTGAACAGTATATTAAATGATCGGCCCTTATTTATGTTTTATGCAAACCACAGAAGGTTTTTAGAACTATGTACTCGATATAGGAATATATTACTCTTTTTTTCGTGAGATTACGTTTTGGAATGTTTTATGACAACTAATTGGGCTGATTTCCTTATAATTCATCAAACAAGCGATTCAGCCACGTGTACATTCCGCTGACGAAATGTGCTATTATTATTGAAATATATAATTTCCTCAGACATAAACAGCTGTACGTACACTGTCTGAAGTGAGATTGATGTTGTGGCGAGTATACCATATATCTCAATATAATGTCTTGTGATGGAATGGTGTTATTACAATATTACCAAAATGACGAGTTAATCGCTACAGGCAACAGTAAATATTACAAGATATGTAGTCAATTTCCCACTAATGTCATTTTTTATGCAGTTCCATTATGAAATGTTTCATTTTTGATATATTTATTATAGTTTGTACATTGTTGTATTTCTAATATAAACTTATATTTATCTAAGTCAAGTCAACAATATATACCGAGTATAGTTTATACATTTATATTTGTCAGCGGTATTACGATTGTAAATAAAAATGATCCTACTGTTGTTTTCGTCGTTGTCGTAGTTGTTGTTGTACTGACTGACTGACTGAGTATGGTTTTACGCCGCTTTTAGCAAAATTCCAGCAATATCACGGCGGGGGACACCAGAAATGGGCTTCACACATTTTACCCATGTCGGGAATCGATACCGGGTCTTCGGCGTGACGCGCGAACGCTTTAACCACTAGGCTACCCGACCGCCCCTGTTGTTGTAGTTGTGGTTGTATTGTCGCATCTGCTGAAGAGGCGGTGACGTTAGATCCGTTGGGATTCCGGGTTAGAATTGTCCCCATGTTGTCGTAGGAGGCTGCGATAATAACCGGGTGGTCAAGCTCGGTGACTTGATTGATTGTGTGTCATCGTACCCCAGCTACGTGGATCTTTGCTCACAACATCAATCTCCCGTTTGGCCCAGTCTGGAATATTTGGCAACGTTAAACAACAAAGAATAGTCGGGGTTAACGTTGCCATCGGCCGACGCCTACAAAGTATATTTTCAGATCAAGCAAGTTAATTCAACACTGGTACTTGACCTGTCACGTGGTCCCTATACTGAGTGAATTCACACCAACACAGATGTACAAAACATGGAATAATTCCTGTCATGTCCTATTTATATTACCTAAAACAAGAACAGTAAACTACGGTTATAACGAACACGTTTATAACGAACTGACGGATATAACGAACTAACTTTTTAGTCCCGACTATTTGCTGTAGTTATGCTGTATATATGCATATAACGAATTACGGGTATAACGAACTAAAATTAGTAGTCCCTTTGAGTTCGTTATAACCGTAGTTTAGTGTACAGAACACCCCATGTGTTCCTATTAATAATTAATATGAAAGAATCGGGTGCTCTTAAGCTTCTTTTTAATAGTACAGTAAACTACGGTTATAACGAACACGCTTATAACGAACTTACGGATATAACGAACTTACTATTTTGGTCCCGACTATTTGCTGTAGTTGTGCTGTATATATGCTTATAACGAACTACGGTTATAACGAGCTAAAATTTGTAGTCCCTTTGAGTTCGTTATAACCGTACTTTACTGTATATATAAAGTGCCTTTCATTCAGGACGGTCAGTGTTTGAACTGGGTTTCCTGTCATTCCTCCTCCGTATGTTTTGTTCATGATGCAAACCAATACTTCCAGGTTACAGTAGACAGAACCCAGTCGTGAACAAGTTGCGTCTCATGGTAGGTTTAAACAGGAACTTGATATATAAAATCATGACATTCTGACAATCAATGATATGTACATGTGTCAATTTACACATATTTTCGTTTCGGACACAACCTCCTACTCCAATCACATACATAGCACAGAATTTCTCTCGCCCATGGGAGTAATTTTATTGGACGGCTATTTTTAGCCTCATTCTGTTCGAATCAGGCTCGCAACGATGTTATGGTGCCGAATGGGTCCAGGCCGGTTATGAAAGAATGAAGATATAGTATTCCGGATAAACGAGGCTCGGGCATGTGTAAATTGACACATGATTATCATTCACTTGTCAAAACGTCATGTTGTCTCTGATTCGTATTTAGCCAAACATGAATCAAGTACATAAATAACTCCAATATATGTCCTGAGAATATGTATATCATAATATACATCTGATTTATTAGACATATAGACAGCTCAAAAGAGTCTCCAACTTCCAAGCTTAAACACATGTCGAAGGTAACCTCGGAACTGATGGATGGATGGTGGCTCTATCAGGGTTCACCAGTAAACTAAGGGATGACGGATAAATCAAATATCTCCCTAAATTGAAAATCCTGGAACAGGGCTAACTGAAAGGCTGTTCCAACAATTGTGCAACTTTACGTTTTACACATACAATTCAATTAATAACATTTTTAGAACATTGTTATCAAACATGTAAACATATTTATCAATTTACGATTAACATACGGGGAGATTTTGCTCTGGACTCGTTTCGCTGACTGCATTCGTGAAACCGCATCGTTGAGGTCAGCCAAACTGTCAAATGATGTCACCTCTGTTGATATTTGAGTGTTCAAAGACATCTTTAGAGTTGCAAGAGCCTTATTGGCATCGGCAAAGGAGGGTGATGGGTTTGTCGGTGATCAGATATCAGTTCGCTGTATCTGTTAGTTCGCTGTAGAGAGTTCGTTATATACGTACATTTTATATGTCTATTTGATATTATATTGGGGATAAATCGGGGATTTTTTAACAGTTCGTTGTATCCGTTTGTTCGCTCTATCCGTGTTCGTTATATACGTGTGCTACTCTAATAGAACACCACTAAAGTTTGGGGGTCAAACATAACGTCATCCAATTTACGACGTCATCAAGTTGTGTATGTTCGAATCTCCAGAACTGACGTCATGATAGAACAATGTTTTATCGTGAAAAAAACACACACGTTCTTCATTGTTCTTTGCGATATATCGCGTAGCTATCTTACATCGTTGGATAAAGAACTTTATCATATAATGGGTAGGTTTCTCGGCAGGATAAAGCCAACGGATAAAAACAATATCCGTTGGGGTCATATGCGGATAGAGATGCAAATTTCAAAGGTCAAGTAGGGACTACTTTCACTGTTTATAAACAAACATGGCGTCGCCCTCGTCATTCGGTGATCGAGTGAGAATTAACCACGGGAATCTGGATAAACTACAGGGATAATTGCTATCATTATCAAAAGAACAGTCTAATATACTGAAAATCAGTGTCTAACTGTGACGTAGCTAAGTTTTGGCAACTTTGGAGATTTGTCCAAATTTGAAACAGTTTTGCGAGGGCACGAGGCCTAGCCAAGCAGGATCAGTAGCCATATCTGTGCTCGTAGACCTCTGCGGCTTGAAACCTTCTCCACAAATTAAAATAGTTGGATTTGGCCGAAATATGTTTGAATTGTTACCTTGTTTCGTTTTGTCGATGTGTGTACATCTGACTACACTTCTTAACGTTATGACAGGACACCGACTGTCAACGTCTGACCGTGGCGTCTCATAGACTAGAGTTAGAGTAGCTTCCCTTTGACAAAGGGCAGACCGATGGATTGCCGCGAAAGGCAATTAAAAACAAGGATTGTTGTTTTGCGTTTATGCTGCTTCGCCACTGTATAAGAAACAGATTTCAGTTGGAACTAAATTGGCTACTGTCACTGTCCGACTGACACATCACTTACCCTGTGACGAAATAAATATTAATGCGCGCATTCCAGGAAAACTCGCAATGTTTCGGTAATGTTTGTGACAAGGAATGCAAATTTTGAAGCACAGAATTAAAGAATGAAATTATATGATAAAGAGGTTATCACGCTTGTGTGTTTGGGGATGGTAAATATCCTGTATTAGGAATAAACACTATGTATTTAGCTCGCCAAGGCTCGCTAAATACAATGTTTATTCCTAATGTAGGATATTTACCATCCCCAAACACACTCGCGTGATAACCTCTATGTCGGTGTCTTTGATCGTTAAGCAAAGCATCTAAGAATTAAGAAATACGAGGAGGGGTGGTTGTTTATCGTACACTGCAGGGAGAATAAACTACGAGGTACGCACGTCCACGAGTCGTATATATCATATGTGAGATATTAACATAACGTATAGCCTCTTTTAGGATAGGGGCGGTCGGGTAGCTGTACCATTTCACCCAGATTGTAACATCTCGCCCATTTTGGGTGCAATCGTTCGGCCAGTGTTTTTACCTGCTACATCATAGGAACACCTCACTACCCTCTCAAATAAAGCGTCGTCCAATTTGCGTCGTCATGAAGTTGCGAGCGCATGTCCGAATCTCCAGAATGGCATCATAATAGAACAACGTTTAATCGTGAAATAAACCACGCCTCGTTCTTCGTTGTTCTTTGCGATTTATCGCCTAGCTATCTAATATTATGCCACAAACGTGATGTAATTTTACCAGAATTTCTTCAGATTTATAATGTGTTAGTTTGCAGTACGGATATCAGTGTATTTATGAAAATGTGAAAGTGGTAGCAATATATTTGATTTGTAAAATATCGTGTTTTGGTAATGACCTTCACAATCAGTAAAATAGAGTGACCTCCCTTGGTGTTTCCAGTCCAAACTCCGCTTGACATTTTCGGGAGGGCACTGACTTGTGTATAAGGCCCAGTCGTTTAAGGCGCCGCGATTCGCTGTGCAGAGTTGCGTCCCTTGGGCACACCAGAAACCTATGATTGTGGGTTCGAATCCCGGTTCGCCCCGATTATGTTTCTAGGTTTGTCAGCACCATACCCGTGCTCGTGGGTTTCACCGAAGTGGTAAACGTCTGAGACCTGCATCACTTCGGGCTTTCCTCCCACATTAAGCTGACACGCCGTGATATAACTTGAATACTGTTAAAAGCAGCATAAAACCCAACTCACTCACTCACTCATTATTGTTGCTGCCACATATCTGATCCACTGTATTGCCTTGTATTTCTGTAAACCTAATCATGTGTGACAATATAATTTGTTGATTGTTCATTGATCTTTTGTGGTTATTTACTGATGTCACGAACGCCTCCGTGGTCTAGTGGTAGAGCGTCCGACCGGAGAGCGGAAGTTCCGGGGTTCGATTCCCGGCCGCGTCATACCAAAACACGTTAAAAGATGGTACTTGTTGTTACCCTGTTTATTGCTCGGCATTAAGGGGCTAAAACAAGGACTGGTCGGCTCGGAGTCAGTTTACTGTGTCTGCGTGGGGTATTCATGTTGAACTGCGGCATGTTGAAATCGGCATCACTCCGGACTAGTACAAGCAGCCACACACACACACGTGTTTGCACGTCGCTATATAAGTGCAATAATTTTGGACGCGACGTTAAACCCCATTTCACCTCACCTCACTTCACCTCTCTCACTGATGTCACAAGTTAGTTGTGTTCGACCCAATTTCTAGCCTAACTTTCGCGTTTCAACTCGGGATTTAGCGCGTAATAAATTAGTGTCAATAGTTTAATTGTAAGACGCATTTTGTATTAACCTTAGTATAATTGTAAGAGGCACTTTGTGATAGAAGCCGTATCATTATAAGATGCACAATGCGATATCAGTTCTTTTAGTAAAAGACGAATTGTGATATCCGGCGTATTATTATCAAACGAACCATGAGATATCCGTAGTGTCATTACATGACGCACTTTGTGATATCAGTCGTATCATAAGTCGAACTATGTTATTAGTTGTATCATTATACGACGAATCAGTTGATATCAATAGAATTATAAGGGTGAACAGGTGATATCAATAGCATTATAAGACGAACCAGGTGATATCAAGAGTAATATAAGAGGAACCATATCAATAATATTGTAAGACGATCAGGTGCATATCAATAGTATTATAAGACGACCTATTCGAGATGAGAATTATCGTGGTGATGACGGTGTGTCACGTGGTGTGTGTCAGTGCGGGGCATGACCGGAAAACTCTGGGGTCAAGGTCGCCGAGCGTGAGCAGCGTCTTGTGATAGAAAACCAACACCAGGTTAACTCAGAGATTTTATTGCATAAATAGAAACAGTGTCAAAGAACATAACAAATACATTAAATTGTACCCAGGAACATATAAACAATATGCATACATACATTAGTCGCTGAACCTTGACAGGGTCATCGAAAACCTCGGACTGGTTCATTTAATAAATTGGGATATATAACTCAGATATTTGTTCATAAAGACAATGTACCACAAATCATTGAACCGTAACAGATTGTCATACAAAAGAAAGTTTGTACAGATCTATGAAGATAAATAGCATCAATTATTCAAAAGATATTGATATTTGTTTCTTGACTTTGTTTGTCCTGCTCGGTGTTGACGATAGTTTTCTTTTGTGCTGTTGACCCTGGTAACATGGTTGTCGCCATGACAACCTCATGACAACCTGTAGTACATACATTTGGATTTGTACATTTGCGTGTTGTAGCAACTTTTGGTACAATTAGCCGTCTGTGTGTGTGTGTGTGTGTGTGTGCGTGTGTGTGCGTGCGTGTGTGTGCGTACGTGTGTGCTTGTTGCAGCCTGTAAATAGTCGAGTCTGGACCAGACAATCTAGTGATTGATATAATGAGGAACGATACACGCCGTCGCAACCAACCAAGTCAGTGAGTCTGACCACCCGATCCACTCAATCGCCTCTTACGACCAGCATAGGTTGCCGTGGACCGTTTTAACCCGGCGCCTCCACGAAGTTCATCAGCTGTGATTCACTGTACTGTATGACAAGAATGTAAGGATTCAAGCACAACTGACCCTGCTCAGAAGACTGCCAATACAGAACATTCATTGAACAACGAACATACTAAAACACGGAACAATATATCAAAGCTAGAGTCCCGCTCTAACTAGTGTTCTATCACAGATACACATCAGAGTGACGTCATCATTTTAGTCATAGTCACGTGTCTTCATCCGGGCAACTGACGGAGTTCGTTTTAGGAACACAAGAGTTCACGCGTGGATTCCAAACGAGGTCGTGCATGCAAGTCTGTATGACTTCCTTCCCATCGTTACACATGATAAACTTGTTGCACTTTCGAGGGTGGGGGAAAAACCCTTCGTCGCGACCTTCACAAGGTCGGATGTCAGGGCAGTAGAAGTCATTCTTGGCAGGTACGCAGACGTTGATCTTGGGGTCAAAGTACAGATTCTTCGGACATGACATGTTTCTTTCATTCTTGAATTCACAGAGGATGTAGCGACTGCAGTCAGTTGGGTCTGGGTACAGTCCGCCATTGGTGCCCTCCTTACAAGGAGTTGAGTCGTAATCTGGAAAAGAGTACATTTTTATTTATTTATGAAGTTTTCTAAGCGATGAATAAATGATCATCTGCCTTGTGACCACGATGATTGATTGAGTGAGTGAGTGGGTATGGTTTTACTCTAAAATATTCCAGCAATATCACGGCGGGGGAAACCAGAAATTTGCTTCACACATTTTACCCATGAGGGGAATCGAACCCGGGTTTTCGGCATAGCAAGCGAACGCTTTAACCATTAAGCCATCCTCCATCCGGTTACCGCTATGCATGGAACTGCAATGAATATTGTTGAGCGGCCTGGTCCATGTACTGTCATGGTATTGGGAACGTCCCTTGCGTGCGTTGTTGCTGTTGCTGTTGCTGTTGTTGTTGTTCTTAAACGCCGCACTTTACAGGCTATCTGAAGGCGTCTGTAAATAATAGAGTCTGGACCAGGCAATCCAGTGATTGACATCATAAGCATCGCGATCGATCTACGCAATTGAGATACGATGACATGCATCAACCAAGTCATCGATGCCATACAACGTACACGTTCAGCTTCAAGTCTGGGTAGATCGATGCTCATGATGTAAATCACTGGACTGTCTGGTCCAGATTCGATTATTTACAGACCGCCGTCATAATGCGGAGTGCGGTAAATAATTTCAGCCTGTTCAGGGAATAAGTCAATATGCATTTGAGAGAATTTAAGAGAACGATCAAAAGCTACACATGTGCTCAATTTCATTATATTTGGAACAAAATGTAATTGACAGAAATAGCTATATGCCTTTCATATTTGATATCCAATCGAAATGCTTCGAACAAGCATTTCACATTATATAGTGACCATCTCTCCAGTTTAAGGCATGTAATCATTTACGTTTTTGAGAAAAAGCGTTGGTTTCTAAACAAAAGATGGCTACCATGTGGCCACATTGACATTTAATTTTTTTAATGCCTTGAACAAACTTTAACCGTCTTTCAGTAACGGACATCCACAATAAATTCGAGCTGAATCCATTTCGGAAAAGACGTTGAAAATGAAACAAGTTAATAACGGCGACTTGTGACGTGATCATTTCACATAGCCTTTCAGTCCAGGTGAGCTAACATATGTTTTATATCCAACTTGATCAGTGACGGTTGATGTGTGTCAACAAATACGAAATAGGGTACACTTTCTCCTTCTTCGCAAAATTCGCAAACGCTAATAAGATTCACGTGGATTTACACAATAATTGTCAAAAATACAACATCTTCAAATGGAAGTTTTATACAATTCAAAAATTAGCTGTAAAATGACTCCGATCAAGAGCATGCCTCTCTAACCTTGCATTATTAATTTGAACGGTTTTTCTCCAAACGAGAGTCAGAAAATGCTTTTACAAGTCCGAACTAGCCCACTTAGATATCATAACGCAGTTTAACATGAATACCCCATTCTGAAACAATACAATGACTCCGAGCCGACCAGTCCTTGTTTAAGCCCTTAAAACAGTTTAATTATCGAGGTTGGACACATTATTACAACCCATTCTAAACAATTATAAACGGGAATTTTATAGGGATCGGGTATACTGAAGGTTAACGTGTAAACACTATAAACCACGGTGTGAATGTTTCTTTGCAAAAAAACCACATGACAACGACCAGAGACCATACAATAGAATCTATACTATGGTCTCTGCAACGACTGAAATCCTCACCCACCTGGCCTTTCTGGGTAGAGTATAGGTGGCGGGGTAGTCGTACTTCCGGTTCCGGGTCCATTTGCCTTTCCTGTCACGTGATTGACGACTGCAGGCGCGGTGGTGGCTTGAGGCGCGGTGTTGGCTTGAGGCGAGGGGGCGGAACTGGAAGGGCACCTGACATTGGGGGACGGGGGGACGCAGATCTGCTTCTCTGGGTCGAAGATGGTGTTTTTCTGACACACTCGAACTATTGATTTGTTGTGTTGACACTGAAAGAACAGCATGCAGTCCTCCGGGTAGGGGTGGTACTGTTGCTTGCTCTTTGACTTGCACGGGTCCCACGGATTGGCTACAAGTGGAAAATTCACATCTTATAAAAGTGAGTGAGTTGGATTTAACGCCGCTTTTAACAGTAATCCAGTTATATCACGGCGTTTCAGCTTGATGTGGGAGGAAAGCCCGAAGTCATGCAGGTCTCAGACGTTTACCACGTCAGTGAAACCCACGAGCACGGGTATGGTGCTCACAAACCTAGAAACATAATCGGGGCGAACCGGGATTCGAACCCACAATCATAGGTTTCTGGCGTGCCCAAGGGACGCAACTCTGCACAGCGAATCGCGGTGCCTTAGACGACTGGGCAACCCGTCCCCCCACATCTTATAATAAATGAGTGAGGGCATTGTACGCAGATTTTTCAGAATTATTCCAATCGTATTTCGGCGAGGGACAGCCATAACGGGCCTCTGTGATTAAGGAGTTCATTTGTTTGTTTGTTGTTTAACGCCGCACTCGGCAATATTCCAGCCATATGACGGCGTCTGTAAATAATCGTTTCTGAACAGAGACAATCCAGTGATTGACATCATGAGCATCGATCCACTCAATTGGGATACGATGACATGCATCAACCAAGTCAGCGAGCCTGACCACCCGATCCCGTCGCCTCTTACGACAAGCATAGTCGCCTTTTACGGCAAGCATGGGTTGCTGAAATCTGTTCTATCCGGGTTCTTCACGGGTCTTGTTTTCAAATATTGTAGAGTGAGAGTGAGGGTGATTTTACGCAGCATATAGCATGATGCCAACCTTATTAAATTGTGGGTCTGGAGCGGTTGCATTTCCAAACTAGACGCACCATTGACAAGCATGTGTTTGTGGCGGGTTCCACCCGTGGGGCAGGATAAGCTCACGTTTAACACTGGTATCACTATTTGATAGTGATTCATATACATTCTCATGATATAGTCGGGATCGTACTTTTGGCAGAGATATCTTTTGAATATGGAAAGGTTATTGTCGCTTTTATTTAATGCGCTTCTGTAATTTTATAGTTCAAATATGAAATAGTGAATGAGTGAGGGTGGCAGATTTCGCAGACTGTCAATGTTCGTGACATCATCAACTCATAATATGATGGTTAATGTTAAATTTCATAATATACGCTAGCGACGCGATATATTGTAAAGAGCAATGAAAAACGAAGAGTGGTTTATTTCACGATTGTTCCATCGGGACGTTATGTTTGGAGATTCGAACAAGCGCTTGCAACTTGATGACGGCGAAAATGGGACGACGTTATTTTTTAGAGGGATGTGTCTAGAGTGTGTTGTTCCCCATTGATATAGCTGGACACCCAAAGTTGGGAGGTGATATGACAATCGGCATTGGGAGAAAAGGTGAGGATCATTGACGTGAAATTGTGAGAGTACATAAAATGGAATTGTCAGACATTGCTGCGGTCGGATTGTATTCAGGGAGTCATCATGATTTAAATACGGTAACTGTTTTTAAAGCTTGTACAATTTATTTACATCCTTAAGAAGGCTGCACAAATTGTTGATATCCCATATAAGGAATAAACGACTCGTGGTCGTTGTTTATCTTACAGGCAGAGCAAGGAGAATAATCCGCTCGGGGCTACACAAGGAATTTAATAATATCACAGGAAGACATTATCGATGAGGTTATAACTTTCAAACTTTCCATTTTTCAAAATATCAACATAACACTGACAGAACAGGGTTCCGTTGTACAAAGCGATCTTAGCGCTCAGGTGACCGTAACTCCCATACCTTAACAGTGAGTGAGTGAGTTTGGCTTTACGCCGCTTTTAGCAATATTCCAGCAATATCACGGCGGGGGACACCAGAAATGGGCTTCATACATTGTACCCATGTCGGGAATCGAACCCGGGTCTTCGGCGTGACGCGCGAACGCTTTAACCACTAGGCTACCCTATCGCCCCCATACCTTCACAGAGACTTACGACGATCGTAGCGCTAAGGTTGTTTTGTACAACGGCACCCGTTGTACAAAGCGGTCTTAGCGCTAAGGTGATCGTTACTCCCGTACCTTAACAAAGTCTTACGACGATCATAACCCAGGTTTCCGTTGTACAAAGCGATCTTAGCGCTAAGGGGATCGTAACTCTCATACCTTAACAGAGACTTACGACGATCGTAGCGCTAAGGTTGTTTTGTACAACGGCACCCTTGTCAACAACCCTTCTTTGTCCGATACCCTAGAAAGTGTGTATATTCGTACCAGTACACTGTATGTTGTCCTTCTTGACGGTGCAGACTTTCAGCGTGATGTTAAACACTGTGCCAGTCGGACAAGTAAATAACACACTCTCTCCGTTGTGGCACTGGATGTAGAGGTTGCACTGGCGGGGATGCTGTAGGTAGTCTCCCGACTTGCCCACACATGGGTCGGGTGCTGGAAAATACCCACATTTCTCATGATTTGTGTATTCAAATTTTTTTACAGAAATACTGCAGTATGTTCTTTTTTTACAGTTACGATATTTGGGGTAAGTGAGTTAGGACTATTTTCGCTATGAATAATACTTCAAGTCTGTCAGCACGCATTTCCCGTGGTTTTAGGCGGTAATCGCCCAAAACCTGCATCACTTCAGGGCTTTCTCTCATAGGAAGCTGACACGTGATCCCTATAGATTATAATTATATATAAGATAGCTACGCGATACGTCGTACAAATACAAATACAAATAAGAACGAAGCGTGGTTTATTTCACTATTTAAGATAGCTATGCGATACATCGCAAAGAACAATGAAGAATGAAGCGTTGTTTATTTCACTATGTAAAATAGCTACGCCATACATCGCAAAGAACAACGAAGAACGAAGCGTGGTCTATTTCACTGTATAAGATAGCTACGCGATACGTCGCAATGAAAAATGAAGAAAGAAGCGTGGTTTATTTCACTATATAAGATAGCTATGCGATACATCGCAAAGAACAATGGAGAATGAAGCGTTGTTTATTTCACTATGTAAAATAGCTACGCCATACGTCGGAAAGAACAATGAAGAACGAAGCGTGGTTGATTTCACCATATAAGATAGCTACGCGATAACATTTTTCTATCATGACGTTATTTCTGGAGAATCGAACATGCGCTTGCAACTTGATGACGTCGTATATATGACGATGTTATTTTTGAGAGGTGAATGTCTAGTCAGTTGTTCCCCATAGATGTAGCTGGGCAACGCAGATAAACGCGATGGCCGAACGATCGCATCCCAAAGCGGGAGAGATATGACAATCGGTATTGGGAGAAAAGGTTTAGGTAATCGACGTGAGGATCGTGAAAATATGCGGGACATACCCACCTGTGCATAAAATGGACTTGTCCGCCATTGCCGCGGTCGGATTCGATAGAGGGAGTCATCATTATTTGAATACTGGTAAATATTTCTTAACGCTTATGCATTTTATCATCCTTAAACAGACTGCACATACTGTTTACATCTCATAAACGACGAGTCGGAGTTGTTTATCGTACAATAAAACACTGCCGGTAGAATAAACCACACAGGGCTGCGCAGTTATTCTCTCTTTTATTATACGATAAACAACTCCCACTCGTCGCTTAGTTCTTAGGTATATATCATATGTTTGGAATAAAAATTGAATCATGGGAGTTTAATACACATTTTGTATTCTTAATATATTATATGTACGATCGAACGATGTCATTATTTTTCTAAAATCGATGTTTAAGACATTTCCACTCAATGACACTTAAGCAACTGCGTATGAATACAATGTTTGAGTGAACCGCCCCATTCATGTAGTGCTATTGGATTTGCCGTCACTGTTGGCTGCAGAAACACGAGAAAAACGATCTAAACCTATTGGGAACGTCAGTCAATCACTTATTTATCTACCAGACATTGCATCGAGGCACCTTAATGGTATTTCCTACAAGGTGACCTCATTTGCATATTTTCCGGAACGTCATACCGTGAGTTAGTGAGTGAGGTAGGTTTAACGCCGCTTTTAACAGTATTCAAGTTATATCACGGCGTGTCAGCTTAATGTGGAAGGAGAGCCCGAAGTGATGCAGGTCCCAGACGTTTACCACTTCGGTGAAACCCACGAGCACGGATATGTTGCTGACAAACCTAGAAACATAATCTGGGCGAGTCGGGATTCGAACCCACAATCATAGTTTTCTGGCGTGCCCAAGGGACGCAACTCGGCACAGCGAATCGCGGCGCCTGAGACGACTGGGCTACCTGTGCCCCCGATCGTCATACTCAGTTTATCTGATTGGTTCAATGCTATCGAGAACACGTAATCACCGTACTCATTGATTCACTCACTCACTCATATACACACCGCCTACATGAGTAAGTGAGTATGGTTTTACGCCGCTTTTAGCAATATATCAACAATATCACATGTACAAATGTCGGGAATCGAACCCGGGTCTTCCGCGTGACGAGCAAACGCTTTAACCACTAGGCTACCCGACCGCCCCCACCGCCTTAATACATGAGAAACTAGACATAACGTTCTTACTGTTTGACTGGGGTGGATGGGTAACGGGTGCTGAAGCTGGAGTCACGGTAGGCGGAGGCCGTGGTGTAGTTGACGTGGACTCATCTGTTGTCGTCCTCGTCGTGGGGGATTTAGACAAGGGCGGAGGCGGAGAAGTCGGCGTAAATTCTTCATCATCACTGACCTTCTCTACGGTGACCTTGGCACTGTCAATATCCAGTTTCAACTGGTTTATCTGGACCTGTTTAAGACACAGAGACAAGAACCTTTTAACGCTGCATGCTGGTTTTGGAAACAATACGAATAATTCCCTCCGTTTCTCTGGTATACATCAGAATACATCAACGCATTTCAAATTGCACCAATGAAAGGTTTGCAAACGTCCAGATTCATTACGAACCATATTTTTATCAATATATACAACTCAAAAGAAGTTAAAGAACATGAATTTATGAAAAGTCGGTGACCTTTAACGTCTTTTGAGTAGCATATATAAAATAATTATTCCGCATACTATACCTTGTTTCTTCGTTTGTTTAACGCCACACTTAGCATTATTCCAGCTATATAACGGCGGTCTGTAAGTAATCGAGTCTGGACCAGGCAATCCAGGGAATTGTATCATGAGCATCGATCTACGCAAATAGGATACGATGACATGCATCACCCAAGTCAGCGAGCCTGACTACCCGATCCCGTTAGTCGCCTCTTACGACAAGGCTAGAAGCTATACTATAACAACAATGATACAATCCTAAAGGAAGAGTCACGAACCATCGATTTGCTGTCCTCTGTAGCGCGGGCCTTGAGGACGTCGACAATGTTGTCGGTGGTTGCCTTGTCCTCCTCATCCTCAAAGAACAGAGTGAACTTAATCTTGTTGTTCCTGAAACCATGACGAATTGATATTGCTTGTATCTACAGCCCCAGACGATATTCTACGATTACGGAAAGATTTGAAGAAAATGTAACTTTCCACAGAAATGCAGAAACATCACGGAATTTGCCCCTTTTTCATCAAATCAAGACACTCATTTTCATAATTTCTATATTTTTCTATCGAATTTTGTCCAAACATTTAATATGTTAAATATGAATCCTACAATAAAACGAAGTTTGAAAAAACGTTCTCGTGGTATTGATGACACCTAACGATAAATAAATATCAGTGACTCTACGCATATTTAGTTGCATTATTCTTTGTCTTAACCAATAATAACTGTCTATAATGACAGTTTGACGAATTATCTCGTTTCGGATTTGGAATGGATCAATGCAAGATATTAAAAAAATATAGAAAAATAAATAATTTTTAGTTTCTATTTATTTTTGAGGGGGAAATAGTTATGTTTGTTGCAGCAGAAATTTGGTAATTTTACCGCAGAATTCGTCTGGGACTATCTAGCCTTTATCCACTGCGAACGAATGATATGAAAGTTTGAAAAGACAATGGCCCGCACTGCTGTAACCAATGCAAACACACCAAGACTCCAGTTGTTACTCTGATGACCTGTGTATAAACTGTTTATATGCCTACATCAATGAATAAATACTATATTTCTAAAAAATCGATGTCCTCGGGAATATATGTCCAGTTGAGCCAATACATAGAGTTAATTCGTCCTAAACGACTTATCGGGATAACGGATTCGAGTTAACCGCACTTTGAACCCTTATTGATTTAGTAAGGTGCTTGAAATGTTTCCATAAAGGATAAAGCACCATCCAGTCTCAATTCACGGAAACGCGTCTTCCCGAGGCAAGGGAGTTAACTGACTATAAAAGTTAATTTTCCACTTTTACAGTCAGTTAACTCCCTTGCCTCGGGAAGATGCGGAAACGTTGATTCAGTTACTGATTTAATAATTTTACTCACTGAAATATTGTGAGGACTAACTTTGCAGAAAAAAAATTGATTTTGAAAAGGTTAAATTTTAAATGAAATTAACGTTTATTGAAAATAAGGTCACTCACGTGATCGAGTCCACTTGGCATTTTTTATATGTATCTTGAAACAGTGAACTCTCTTTGTAAAATGTGTCCACCTGTGAAGACAAATAACATGTATTATAGCTAAAATGGATAGAAATATCATTACCCCCCCGCATGTTATCAAAAATGAGCGGGCCACTGTAACTTGATAATGCCCTCATATTGCTTGACGACGGGCCATTATCACGCCCGTTGTTAGGTGAAGTCATAGGATAGGGATAGTGACGTTATGTTCAATAGTGACGTCATCTGATTTGTTCCAAGACGTTTCCATATTTGTAAAAGTGGGTCAGTGACATTTGTGTTGATTGAAGTAAATGTTTCAAAACCGATTTTGTTGTTTCTTTTTATTTGATAACAAATTCCATCCATTTTAACTATAATAAGGGTAACACTATTTTTCAGGGCATTATGATTTGCAGAAGCCCGAGGTCTTCCATTAACTGCCCGACGAATAACATGTACTCAAGGCTAATCTCACGTTTAAATACTTACATCTTCCCGAGGCAAGAGCGTCCACTGGCCTTTTTTTTTATCAAAGTCCTGTTTCGACGCTTGCCACATCAAGCCCACTTTCCTGTGCTAAATATGATTGGACTATGGCACATATCGTTAGTCCAATCAGAGAACGTTTCACAAAATCAACATCCACGACTGGTACACCTTCGTACGAAAGTGATTCACCGCTGCTTGTCTTTGTTGACACGAATATGTCTTTTTCATCTTTTAATAAAAAAACAACGATTGCCTATGTTTTTATCAAATTGCGAATATTTTCGTTATCTGGTCGACTATGCCGTCGCCTACGATAGTCGCCATCTTTAAGAACAGCGATCTGATTGGATATCGCGTTTTCATTACAAGGGACACAACTCGTGATCTACACGAGGTGGCGCCTGTGTGGCCTTGATGTGGCAAGGGTAGAAATTGGCTTTGATATAGGCTAGTAGACACGCTTGCTTCGGGAAGATGAGATGTGAAGGCTATGAGTTGTTAAATAATATCTAGGAACGCCTGGTGAAAGAAAGAAAGTTTTTCAAATATACTACCCAAAACTAGTTAAAGAACACCCCGATTAGAAGAAAGGGCGTTGCAATACCCACCAGCTATGAAAGATTAACTACAGTAAACTACGGTTATAACGAACTTAAAGGGACCACTTAATTTAGTTCGTCATAACCGTAGTTCGTTATAAGCACATATACAGTATAATTACAGCAAAAAACAGTTGGTTATATCAAATGAAGTGACCTTTATGTTTGTTTGTGTGTTTGTTTGTTTAATGCTACAGTCCAGACATAGTAGGTAGGCCTGTAAATAAATGGTTTTCCACATTCATATTAAGGGACGAGGGGTAGCCAAAAGGGTAAAGCGTTCGAAGTCCTGGGTTCGACTGCCACATTTATAAAATGTGTGAAGCTCACTTCAGTTATGAAAAGGCTGGAAAATTGCTAAGAATGGTGTTGCTCATTCATTTCAAAATGTAAATATACTATTTTCCTGTCTGCATTCCACCAGGCTGACAAATACCAATCTGTTTGTCTACTATTGACACCTCACTCAATCATCTAACAGTGGCTCTATGTTGGATTCTGTCAAGGACAACGTTTGGTTGGCCTCGCTATGACGTAGGTATCTCACCTGTTTGCAGTAGGAATCTGTAAGATTCTGCCTCTGCCGTAAACTCAGCGTTTGAACGTTCAAGCCGGAAGTCGACATGCTCATCTCAAGCTGAGCCTTTAAAATCTCTGAAAAAAACATTTATTTAATTAATAATTGATTAGTTAGGAAAAAACGATATTTGGACGAACTGAATTTATGTTTTAGTAACAAACAATATATGCATTGTAAAAGAAATCAATACTGAACATTTATAACTTCTTTGTTAGGCATTTAGAAGTTGGAGTACTAAGTAAGGATAAGAATTTATGGATGAACATCGCTCTTTATTACAATTAAGAGCGACGTTTCGGTGTAGGTTCTAACACCGTTATCAAGCAAGTCACTTGCTAACTGTGTTAGAGCCTACACCCAAACGTCGCTCTTAATTGTAATAAAAAAGTTGTTCATCCATAAATTCTCATCCTTACTGAACATTTGTGTTGGTACATTTGTTGAAGTCAGTAAAGATGATGAAAGAATCATTTATTTATCTGACTTGACAAGTTTAAAGCTTCGATGTAGAGTGCTCGGCAAAAGAAAGCATACACTTGAAAACTGGACTGGACCAAAAAATTACAAACGTTACGAGGTACTATGATACCCATATCAAATACATCACCATCGAAAAAACATGTCTTGTTTTGTTTCATTGTTAGCTACCATCAAAGATTTTTTGCCCGACACTTGCCCGATACAAATGTAAACATTATTGTTTCTCTCACCTATTGTTTGCTGTTGAGCCTCTGAAAACAGAAATAGATAAATATGTAGGTTATAGAGGATGCAGCACAACATTTCTAAATATGAATGATTCATAAAACATGAGCTAGATTAGCATATGCTCTATTCACCGATATTTCTATGCTTGTGAGAGGCGACTAACGGGATCTGGTGGTCAGACTCGCTGAATTAGTTGATGCATGTCGTATCCCAACTGCGTGGATCGATGCTCATGATGTCAATCACTGGATTATTTAAAGACCACCATCATGTAGTTGAAACATCGCTGAGCGCGGCGTTAAACAACAAACGAACACAAAAATTGATATTTCAATTGCATGCTGTTTTTGTTTTTTTAATTTCTTGTATTAATATTCAAAATGTGACGGGATATTGAAAGGGGGAACTAAAAAAGGGCCTCCTTGTCAATATCGCCAGACCGCAATTTTACCGCCCTCCAAGTTTTTTTAATCCCGACTCCCCTCCGACCATTCAAATTAAGAACATTTAAGTTAATTTGTGTGGGTGAGGTAGCTTTAACGCCACTTTGAACAATATTTCATTTATATCACTGTCGGCTCAATGTTGGTAGAAAGCCCGAAGTTATGCGTGTCTCAGCTGGCCCGGCAAGAATAAATCTGCCTCATTTTTTATACTGTCAGTTTCATTTTCAGGACAAGCTCATTTCGCGAACACCTGGTGTTATCACTTATTTTCAGTGATCCATTCATATATTTGACACAACTATTTTACCAGGCGCCCAGTGTACTTTGTTTCGTCAGATAATCGAGACTGGTTAATCTCTGGCGTTAATGTTCATATTTATATTTATTTAAAACCTACATAATGTTCCGAGTGGTTTTACTCGCTTGTCAACACGACACTTTACTCACGTGTACCCTAGCCATTATTTTAATATCATTGAATCAAAAAACGTTTAAGGATATAGTTTTCGGAACCTAAACTGTGGTATAGAAAACTCCCACGGTTTTCGTCCTTCGAAACTACATTTGTCGCCGCTGTAAGGAGCCTGTGAGATGTCATTGCCACGCACGTAGAACAGCAAGCACGGCAGCTCCGGGCAGTGTTGTGGCATTGACATCTGCCATAAGTGACTGGCAGCCACAAAGCGACTACTACTCGATAAATACATCTCAACATAGTTCGTTACAATGTATTATCTAGCACAAATCCCATAAATGTCAACCTATTTATTGCTTATGGGAGTGATGTTCTAAGCATGGGATACACGATACGCCTCTCAAAAAAATCTCATTTACATTTTTTTATGTTAGTACTTTAATTACATTATAACGTATGTGTAAACGTGTTGTCGTGGAGCCAGTGAAGTCAGTGAGAGAGTGGCTTGTGTATTTATGCCATTTTGTACAGATGTGGCGAGATTCTAGCCACATGATGGAGTTGGTGCCAACAGTAGGCTTTACAAATTATACCCATGTGAAGAATCAAAAACCTGCATTTATACTCCCGCGTCTCCAAGGTTTTGTATGTGTTGTTTAACGCCGCACTCAACAATATTCCAGCTATAGGACGGCGGTCTGTAAATAATCGAGTCTCGACCAGTTAATCCAGTGATTGTTGTTTAACGCCGCATTCAGCAATATTCCAGTTATAGGACGGCGGTCTGTAAATAATCGAGTCTCGACCAGTTAATCCAGTGATTGTTGTTTAACGCCGCATTCAGCAATATTCCAGTTATAGGACGGCGGTCTGTAAATAATCGAGTCTCGACCAGTTAATCCAGTGATTGTTGTTTAACGCCGCATTCAGCAATATTCCAGATATAGGACGGCGGTCTGTAAATAATCGAGTCTCGACCAGTTAATCCAGTGATTGTTGTTTAACGCCGCTTTAAGCAATATTCCAGATATAGGACGGCGGTCTGTAAATAATCGAGTCTCGACCAGTTTATCCAGTGATTGACATCATGGGCATCGATTCACGCAACTGGGAGCGATGCAATCAACAAAGTCAACGAGCATTACGTTCCGATCCATTTAGTCGATTCTTGCGACAGGCGTGGGTCGCTAGGGACATATAATCATTTAATGTAATGAAGATGGTTGAATTTTACAAGGTTTTGTTACAAAATGTCCTGAATTAATTTGAAATCTGAACGTACGGGACTCGCGAGAAGACTCCATTGTTGCGATAACCCCGGAGTTACGACCTCGTTTTCATAAAACCACGTGACACGCTGTGCCAGACAGACTGCTTACGTGGCACCTTTATGTAGGTTTATTATTTACAAGGGCTTATTTATTCCTATCGTCCCACATCTCAAAAAGCGGTGACTGTTCACCATGTCACCAGGTCGCGCGAGAACAAGCGTTATCTCGCGTTAGACAAGTGACCGAGATGTTACAACTGACTTTATTACACTGACCGGGTCACGTTAGACCGAGTCTATGTCGCCTCCAGCGGTGACCGTTGTTCACGTATCGTGGACAAGAGTGTTGTCTCCATGTGAGGCAATTTGACTGAACCTTATGAAGTCTGGGAAAATTTCAACCGAAAACGGCCTGCCCTTAGAGTGAGTGAGTGAGTTGGGTTTAACGCCGCTTTTAACAGTATTCCAGTTGTATCGCGGCGTGTCAGCTTAATGTGGGAGGAAAGCCCGAAGTGATGCCGGTCTCAGACGTTTACCACTTTGGTGAAACCCACGAGCACGGGTATGGTGCTGATAAACCTTGAACCCTAATTTGGGAGAACCGGGATTCGAACCCACAATCATAGGTTTCTGGCGTGCCCAAGGGACGCAACTCTGCACAGCGAATCGCGGCGCCTTAGACGACTGGGCCACCCGTGTCCGCCCTTGCCCTTAGAATGTATACGTGTGTATGTTGGCAACACAGTAACTGCATTCAGTAAGGATCGCATCCGTGGTCTAGTGATATTGAGTCCGCCCGGGTAGCGGAAAGTCGGGGGTTCGATCCCCGGTCGTGTCACACCAAAAGACGTTGATAGATGGTCCATGCCGTAAAAGGCGACAATACTTGTCGTAAGAGGCGACTAACGGGATTGGGTGGTCAGGCTCACTGACTTGGTTGATGCATGTCATCGATCCCAATAGCATGGAACGATGATTATGATATCAATCACTGGATTGTCTGGTCCAGACTCGATTATTTTACAGACCGCCTTCATATAGCTGGAATATTGCTGAGTGCGGCGTTAAACAACAAACAACCAAACAAACTTGTTGTTACACTGCCTGGCGCTCGGCATTAAGGGGCCCAAACAAGGACTGGTCGGCTCGAAGTCAGTATACTGTGTCTGAGTGGGGTATTCATGTTAAACTGCGGCATGGTATCTCAATAATATCAAATCGGAATTAGTTCAGACACACGCAGGCACGCATGTCGCTATATAAGGACCACTATCTTGAACGCGACCCTAATATCACATCACCTTCACCTTATTCGGTGAGTAAGTGAGTGTGGATTAACTCAATTCAATTATGTCATGGCATGTTATCTTGATGTGATGGAAGGGTGTTAGGGTGGGGGTGGGGGTGTTGGAGGAAGGCTTAGTAAAGCACATCTTAGAAGTTTTCCAAGACGGGCAGGGTCATGGTTTTCTGGCACCTCTACGTCGGGACGCGGCAACTCGTTGATGCAAGTATTGTGTTGATTGAGACAGCATACTCTATTGAGTTCTTGCTTGATTTTAAATATGCTCAGCAAGGAAATTATTGTTCATATTGTTGATAATATGGCTGACATTGAAGCAATTATCGTTGTTATTGCTGAAATTATAGCTGATATTGATGAAATTATTGCAGATATTGCCGACATTATTGCCGACATTGCTGAAGTGATTGCTGGTATTGCTGAAATATCGGTGATGTTGCTGAAGTGATTGCTGATATAGCTGAAATATCGGTGATATTGCTGAAGTGATTGCTGATATCGCTGAAATATCGCTGATATTGCTGAAGTGATTGCTGATATTGCTGAAATATCGCTGATATTGCTGAAGTGATTGCTGATATTGCTGAACCTATCGCTGATATTGCTGTAATCATTGCTGATATCTGACAGTATTGCTTTTGCATGACGAAATAAAGTAAAAGTAGAGCGTATGTACTTGGTTTTCAGATATAGAATTACAGAGTTCGTCGGGCCTAACTGAATATGGGGTTTAACGTCGCCTTAAAGATTATTGGACTTGTATAGCGACGCACATGCACGTGTGTGCTTGGATGTGTGTTTGGCTGCTTGTACTAATCCTTACTTTTAGCTCTTATCCACTGAGATACCGTGTCGCAGTTTAACATCGAAACCCTAATCAGACACAGTATACAGACTCCGAACAGACCAGTCCTGGTTGTATCTCCTTAATGCCGAGCGCCAGGCAGGGAAACAACAAGTGCCATTTTTTAACGTCTTTTGGGATGACGCGAACCTCCGACCTTCCGCTCACGGGGCAGATGCTCTACCATAAAGGCAGTCTTGATATCTTAAACCTGGGGACAGAAACATGTATAGAATACTGGGGACTCACCTTTAAGGACCGTGGCGAAGTAGATGGCGGCGCCAAGACTGGCCGCCAGTGTTATAACCAGCACACACATTATAAGGGGTCCGAACAGTTTCTTAATGCGGGTTGCGGGTGTTTCTATGAACTCAATAGGGATCTCAATAGTGCTGGCGGTTAAAGCAGTCGGCTCGGGTTTATTGTTATTATTATTTGAAATAAGTGATGAAGATTGGGCGGACTCTCCGCTGCGCCTGCTTGGAGTAGCGCTGGTTCGACGTTCCTTGCCCGACCTTGACCCCGCCTCACTGCGACGTCGGTCACTATTTGCTGTGAGAGTTGTAATTTTTGTCTCGTCACTCTTACCGCTGATAATGCTCTCACTGCGTCCACTCTTAGCACTCTTTCCACCTACACTGACCTCACTTCGAGTCTCACCACGCAGATCACTTCGAGAATCACTGCGCAGGTCAGGGCGCAGGTCAGGGCGCAGGTCAGGGCGCAGTTCAATTCGAGATTCAGGTCGTAGATCACTCCGGGAATTACGATAGTCATTACGAGGATCATTTCGAAGGTCATTGCGCAGGTCATTGCGCAGGTCACTTCGAGGGTCATGGTCATACATGCTTCTTCGCCTATTCTGTCGATCATTATCACCACTTGGGATATTCTCATCAGAGTTTAACTGTTGGCGCCGAAAATGAGGCGACTCGTTCCGCTGAGCGTTCCGATGAAAGTCTCCATCTAACAGATCACTTTCAGAATAACGTCTGTTTTGGGACCGAAACGGATTCTGCAAGTCACTCATTTCAAACACTGGGTTCCGCACACCGCCAACAAATCGGAAGTCTGTTCCACGCTCCAAAAACTGATCTTCAGGGATTGTGTCAAGGTTTCCACCCGACCCAATTCGAGGGAATAACGACGACGCTGACCTTGACCCGTTCTGAGAAGCTGGTGACCTTGACCCTTGACCAGAAGGTGCCATGGCTATCGGCGAATGACCCGGTGAACCTCCATAATTGTATTCCGTTTGCCATTTCAGTGGTTGGTACTAAAACAGTGAAACAGTGAAACAGTGAGACAGTGAAACAGTGTTTGTTCATACAAATGCATTATGAACGAAAAAAATGGATACGCATTGACAATGACAATAAGAAGCCCCGAATCCCGGTTAGCCCCGATTATATTTCTAGGTTTGTCAGCACCATACCAGCTCGTGGTGTCACAAAAGTAGTACACGTCTGAGACCTGCATCACTTCGGGGTTAACGCCCACGTCAAGCTGACATGCCGGGATATACAGTAAATCTTGAAATTAATGCGTCTCCAAATTTGTACGACTGTTTGTGTTTATAATCAAGTTGGTTTCCGCTATCCAAAGTGTGCAGTGAGGCCGTCTTATTGTTGATAGTCATTTTGGAAACATAAATGCGAAGTTAGATTAATGCCAACAAAGACCACTCGCATTTTTCGCATTTTTCACGCTGGCGTTAATTTCAAGATTTACAGTAACCGGAATACTGTCCTGAAAGCCGACAGGAATACTGTTCAAAGCGGCGTTAAAGCCAACTCACTCACTCATTCACTAACAAAACCCGAATTAAATGTTTGGATGTCAGAGCGTAAAAAACTCACTTGTTGAAAAGGCTCTTTAACAAAAAAGGCTTAAACACATAAGTGTACTGGCTTCATGTGAGTACTTAAGTCCTTCAATACCCTTCAAGGCAAATACAAACACATGATATGTAATCTTTAGTGTTACGTCTTAAGGCAAACCTAATTATATCACATTCGAGTGGTAGCCTTGTGGTTAAAGTGTTCGCTCGTCACGCCGATGGCACGTGTTTGATTCCCCACATGGGTACAATGTGCAACGCCACTTTCTCGTGTCACCCGTGGGGATATTACAGGAATATTATTAGCGGCATAAGATCACACTCACCCACTCACTATATGTAAAACAAACTGGAAGTCTCCGAAAAATGAATACAGTAAACTACGGTTATAACGAACTCAAAGGGACTATAATTTTTAGTTCGTTATAACCGTAGTTCGTTATAAGCATATATACAGCATAACTACAGCAAATGATCTGGACTAAAAAGTAAGTTCGTTATATCCGTCTGTTCGTTATAAGCATGTTCGTTATAACCGTAGTTTACTGTATTCTATTTTCAGTTTAAAACCATGCATCATTAAACACAATGCATTTGACAAAATGATTAAGGATTAATGAATTTGCACAATTCTGATTTTCCTGGTTTATACACAAAATAATAACTTCCTTTTCATGACAGGATGTCTGTATATTCCGTCGTTTTACATTGGTATTGCAGAAGTTATTAAAAAATTAAAAACACAATTTGGTCAACTTTCTGGTCTTCCGCGACATTTAGACTTCACTGCAAATACTCACGTCACAAATTAGGGGGTTTGTATGCCATGTTATCGGAGCTGATCTCCGTTCGGAGAGGGACTTCGGCATAATCCGGAGATCAAGAACTGATCTCTCCAGCGGATTCTCCCTGAGTTACAGCGCCACCTTCCCTGAGAACGACAGCCCGGGACTGACTGACTGCAATCAGGGGAGGTAACTCAATGTGTCACATCTGCCACCTGGCACTAAACACCCACCTGTCAAGACCGTACATGGATTTGTATGGATGGTACGACATGGGGTTTACCACACACATCACGCATGCGCAGTCTAATTTGTTATGTTACTCTCATGCCCTATTATGGAAGGAAATCTGACGTTGTCCAACAAATTCCGCGTACATGAACATCGGCAGAAAGTGGTTGACTTTTTTGTAATTATTTTCTGTTGATTTACACATTTAGTTATTTAATAACATTTAAAACGAACAATATGCAATTGTAAAGTGGGGTCAGTTGTTTTATTAAATTGTATTATATTTCTTTATTTCTGTGTTTTCGTACTCTCGTCAGAACTGAAACCCAGTTTCACCCAGATTAAATGACAAGCGCGGATTCAGCGGGGAAGCATCGCCTTTTTTAAACAGGGGGTCCACTTTAAATACAAAAGTGCCAGCTCATAATCCGGTTTTTAGTCTAAAAGTCAAATGATTTAGTTAAATGTTGATTATTACTGCGGCATTTCTTAAACAAAAGGCGGGGCACAACTCACATCCCGATATTATCTGAATTTTACGTCACTACCGTACATTTTGGTGTGCTTTACTGTATATCATTATCTTCTAGTATTCTAAGGCGCCGCAATTCGCTGTTTGGGCATGCGTCACTTGGGCACGCCAGAAACCTATGATAGTGAGTTCGAATCCCGGTTCGCCCCGATTATGTTTCTAGGTTTGTCAGCACCATACCCGTGCTCGTGGGTTTCACCGAAGTGGTAAACGTCTGAGAGTTGCATCACTTCGGGCTTTCCTCCCACATTCAGCTGACACGCTGTGATATAACTGGCATACTGTTAAAAGCGGCGTTAAACCCAACTCACTCACTCACTCTAAGGGTATTCTATTTTAAGCTGATAATGGCGGTCGGGTAGCCTAGTTGTTAAAGCGATCGCTCGTCACGCCGAAGACCCTGGTTCCATTCCCCACATGGGTACAATGTGTGAAGCCCATTTCTGATGTCCCCCGCCGTGATATTGCTGGAATATTGCTAAAGGCGGCGTAAAACAAACTCACTCACTCACTCACTCAATTAAGCTGATCAGTTACGAACTTTATTTAATTGAACTGTAATGTGTGGCTAAACAAATCTGCCCTGCGTGTCTGTCGGTAGAAAGAGGCTCAAGCCACACTTAGAGGAACTGAAAAGTTAACTGTTTTATCTTTATTTCAATAATTATCATTGTACTGATTTTGAAGGTACCGGGTTATGGAAGTGGTCGCTGTTCATGGTTTTTGTTCACTGACGTAATCTTGTCATTCCGAAATAAACGCAACTGAAATATTTTTGATTTGTTTGGCTATCAGCTGGAAAGTCGTAATGACTCCCAATATAACATAGGCGAATCATGAACTCTCTTAGATGTCCACGTAGAAAGATGTGCCGCCGCCAAACTTTGTTAACAGACTAAGTGGGATAATAAAAGACGATGCTTAAAATTTCATCATTTTTTGTAAAATCTTTGGTCTATTGATCCTAAATGAAACACCAGATAAGTGAGTGAGTGAGTTAAAATTTAACGTCGCATCGGCATTATTTCAGTCATATAGCGACCTAACACCAGGCAACATTCCACATCAATACATCAATGTCATGCGTTCGTTCTCCTATAAAACAAGACGGCTTATTACCCGCATCGATTGTATGTTCGAATCCCGGTTCGCCCCGATAATGATTCTAGGTTTGTCAGCACCATACCCGTGCTCGTGGGTTTCACCAAAGTGATAAACGTCTGAGACCTGCATCACTTCGGGCTCTCCTTCCACATTAAGCTGACACGCCGCGATATAACTGTAATACTGTTAAAAGCGGCGTTAAACCAAACTCACTCACTATTACCCGCATCTGGTGTAAGTTAATCGAAGACCTATCTACACCCTAATTGTTCGTTGACAGATACAGATGGTACATGGATCTCAATTCAAGGCAAACGTCTGACGTCAGGCGAGTGATGATCTGTCAGGCACAAGGTAAACAACTTACGAAGACAGTTATCACCATGTCCCTAATTCGCCTCCGCCCTGCACATGCAACACACACTCCACCTGCTTGTAACGGGTTCGGTTGTTGAGATGAATTGATCCATCATCGGACAAACCCCGTCCTGTTCTTCAAGAAGAAGTTGCTCTTTACACGCGCCGCCATGACCCTTGACGGATATATGCTAACTCGACACGACAACTCGACACCGGAAGTGGCTTTGAAAACAAGATGGCGAGAACTGGTCATTAGCAATGGTTCTTGGCTGACGGATTGGTCGACAGAGCTTCTTCCTGTCGATGTTTGAAGTTGTGTAGGCGTGGTGTGTTGTGAGTGAAGACGAACATGTTGGACATGCTGTGGAGGATGCTGGTTAATGAAGTGCAAGGTGTCGTATCTCGACACAAGGCAGATGGCATGTGGAACACCATCACTTATACGTTGTTGACAAACGTTTCGCTGTTGGTCAACAAGGATTAGAAAGGTCACCGCTGGTCAGCACTGACGCTCTATCTCTAATGAGTGATTTGGTTTAGATGTAATGAGGGGTGACTGAAAGGCCGATGGATAGTACACTCATAACAGTTTACATGCATAAGTGAGTGATAGACGTTAACGCCGCTTTTAGCAATATTCCAGCAATATCACGGCGGGGGACACCAGAAATGGGCTTCACACATTGTACTCATGTTGGGAATGGAACCCGGGTCTTCGCCGTGACGAGCGAACGCTTCAACCACTAGGCTACCCGACAGCCCCTTTACATGCATAAAGTACAATACTTTCAATGCCCACAGGGGCAGTCGGGTAGCCTAGTAGTTAAAGCGTTCGCTCGTCACGCCGCCGTGATATTGCTGGAATATTGCTAAAAGCGGCGTTAAACCATACTCACTCCCTCACTTCAATGCCCACATAATGCATTTGAACCAAACGAATAACCAGAAAGTATATTCCTGCAGGCATCAAAGTGACGAGAACTTCTCAGCCAACCCCAGTATCTTTAACAGTTTGTTTCATGTTTGTTTGTTGTTTGTTGTTTAACGTCGCAATCAGCGGTATTCCAGCGAGTCTGGACCTGACAATCCAGTGATTGACATCATGAGCATCGATCTACGCAATTGGGATACGATGACATGCATCAACCAAGTCAGCGAGCCTGACTACCCGATCCCGTTAGTCGCTTCTTTCGACAAGCATGGGTTGATGGAGACCTATTCTACCCCTGACCTGCAAGGTGTCTGGGGTAACGCGTTGGGGTGTCGGGGAGGTCGGGTAGCCTAGTGGTTAAAGCGTTCTGTCGTCACGCCGAACACCCGGGTTCGATTCCCGACATGGGTACAATGTGTGAAGCCAATTTCTGGTGTCCCCCGCCGTGATATTACTCGGCTATTGCTAAAAGCGGCGTAAAACCATACTCACT